CACACACACACACACACACACACACACACACACACACACACACACACGAGGGCAATGAGTTTTCATATGGTTGCTTTTTTTCCCCCACAAACACTCCAGAACTCAAATACAAAAATGTGGACTATCCATCAGAGAGTTTACTTTGCAAGCACAACCTTCTTCTTCCGTTATGCTGTCACTGCATTTGCTTTCAGAGCTTACATGCCATACGAGTTATTCTGAACTTGAAACACCCAAAAAATGGGTATTTCCATGTACATAAAACAAAACAAGATGGATTATTCAAGAAATTGCCTATCTGTATTATGAACAGTCTGCTTTTCCTTTTAAAGATTTAATAAATTTAACATGCAACTTTCAAAGCTGTGCTGCTTGTCTGAGATTCTTTCTGGCCTTCTGTTCTCTTTATGTGCATTTTTTAAAAAATGCTTCCATGACCCTTTCTTTTCTTTTTTCCTTTTTCTGACTGTCTTATTCCTAGCCCATCTTAATCTCTCCCACTCCACCCCAAAATCGGAAGAAAAAGAAAAAAGACAAATTTCTTGTAATAAATATTTATAGTCAAGCAAAAGAAAATGCCGTATTTGCTAGGTTTGTAAATGTGTGCCTTAGTATCCTGAGGGCATTATACCTCTCTGTCAAGAGGTTGGTAACACACTTCATCATCAGTCCTCTGGAATCATGACTGATTATTGCTTGATAAAGTTCTAAAGTCTCTCAGAGTTCTTATTGTCTGTAATGTTGTTACTGTATAAATTGTTCTCCTGGATCTTCTCTCACTTCACTCTGCATCAATTCCCACAAGTCTTCTCAGGTTTTTCCGAACCCATCTCTTACAGCACTATTCTACTGAATTCATAACAAAATTCGTTCAACCTTGTCTTCATTATTTTCCAGGTCTTTGCTATAACAGAAAAAGCTTCTATAAATATTATTATACTTGAGTCCTTTTCTTCTTTCTTTGATCTCTTTGGGATATAAAAGTGCCATTTCTTTATAAATGCATCTCATTTTTTTTTTAAACCCAAATACTATTTTCCTGACCCACCTCATTTACCAAATTTACATTTTGGAAGCAATGTTTGATCACCCACCTTGTTCACAAGATTTAGATCTATTTCAAAAATCAAAACTACCCTCAAAGGAGGAAGATTTGCCACCACCAAAGAATGTACTACTGGTTCTAAGAGCAGAGAGAGGAAAAGTTCAACCCTACGTCATTCAAAGAGTAAGAGCATTGACGGAGTCTGTTTATAGTCTCCTGAAATGACTATGGTGGGGTGGACAACATCCATTTGGCTGCATGAGTTTGCATATGTTTGTTCAAAAAGGGGCTCTCTAGGCAGAGCCAATTACAACTAATAGCAAATGAGAGGGAGGGGAAAGGAAGGTTCCCTCAAAGTTTTTGTGTAGAAGGGCTACCTTTCATTTTCCTGGAGATCACTATGGGGAGAAGGAAAGAATGAGGGGGACAACACATAACAAGGAGGGCCCTGAGCAGGAATGAATGCTGACTTCAAGGTCATTGGGAAGAGATGGGGATGAAAAGCTCATCATCACACTCATAGTAAGTCAATGAAAATTTATTAAGTGCCTTCTACATGCCAGACACTGTACTAAGTGCTGAGGATACAAAGAAAGGCAAAAGGCAGGCCTGCCCTCAAGGAGCTCATAATCTAATGGAAGCGACAATATGCAAACAAATATGTACAAACAAGTTATATATAAGATAAACACAAATAACTAATAGAGGGAAGGCACAAGAATTAAGAGGGATTGGGAAAGGCTTCCTGTAGAAGGTGGGACTTTAGCTGGGACTTGAAGGAAATCAGGGAAGCCAGGAGACGGAGATGAGGTGAGAGAGCATTCCAGGCATGGGTGACAGCCAGAGAAAATGTCCAGAGGTAGCAAATAGAAAGTCTTATATGAGGAACAGCAAGGAGACCAGTGTTACTGGAAGGAAGAGTATGTGGGGTGAGGGAAGAGGTATAGAAAGACTAGAAGGGGGAGAAGAGGAAAGGGTAGCTTATAAAGGGCTTTGAATGTCAAATAGAGGGTTCTGTATTTGATCCTAGAGAAGGTAGGGAACCATAGTAGTTTATTGGGGTATATATCTGTGATACAGTCAGATCTGAGCTTTAGAAAAATTATTTTATTATTTTGGTAGCCAAGTGGAGCATAAACTGGAGTGTAAAGAGACTTGTGGCAGGCAGGCAAATCATTAGGCTAGGACAACAATGCGGGCATGAGGATGGGCTCGCACGAGGACAGTGGTAATGTCAGGAGAGAAGGAAGCATACATGAGAGATGCTAGGATGGCAGAAACGACTGGCATTGGCAACAGACTGGATACAAGAGGTGAGAGGTAGTAAGGAGTAGAGGATGACACCTAGATTGTGAGTCTGGGGAACTGGGAGGATGGTGATGCCCTTGACAATAATAAGTAAGTCTGGAAGGAGAGAAGGTTTGTGGAGAAAAGAAAATAAGTTTAATTTTGGACCTGTTTTAAGTTTAAGACGTCTACAAGATATACGTTTCAAGAGATGTCCAAAAGGCAGCTAGAGATAAGAACTGGAGGTCAACAGAGAGGTTAGAGATGGATTAGGAGATCTGAGAATCAGCAGCATAGAAATTATAATTACATCTATGGGAGCTGATGAGATCACCAAATGAAACAGTATAGGGAAGAGGGACCAAGGCAGAGTCCAGGGGGGGCATCTATGATTGGCAGACGTGACCTGGATGAAGATCCAGCAAAACAACACTGAAAACTAGTGGTCAGATAGGTAGAGCATAACAGGTATTGAGGAGAGGAGGAGAATGGGACACAAAAATAAAACTGGAGGACGTTTCCCACCTATCAGCAGAGAGGTGAGATACCATAGGAACAGAATGAGCCCTATACTGCCAGACGTGGCCAGGGTATTGGACTGTTTTGCAAGGATATGAATAAATAAAAACAGGTTTTTGCTGGAGGGAGTTTTTGTTTTGCTTTGTTTTCAAGCTAACCAATTAGCCTGGAGAACTTTCACATAAGATTTTGAAACATACCAGTAGAGTCCAATTCACCATAGTTTTTTTAAAGAAATGTTCAAAAACACACTGAAAAGCTTACTGAGTTAAATACTTGGATTTCTTTTCCTTTACTAAATCACTCCCAATAACTAACCCATGCTGGTCTGCTTTTCTGAAGATTTTCCCTTCTCCAATTTCCATATAAAATTTGAGCATATAAAAATGCTGAAAGCCCTTAGGAATTCATTCCCTAGGTAAGGCCCACATGTAAGCCAAAATGAAGAGAGGTTACGTAAGACTTAGTAAATGTCATTTATACCTTGGACAGGTTCACAGAAGGTTATTGATGAGGTCAACACTTGGTCGTCTCCAACAAAATTCTGGCCAAATTCAATAGCCACTATTAGGACCATTACCATCAAAAGGCATAGTCCTCCTTTCCATTAACTAAGCATGTGAATACTAAGTATTTTGAGTGACTGGTCAAAGGAAGAGATTGGACAGTTTTCCATGATGTCTGCAATCCTAATAACTCTGCAAACGGAATTTTAAAAAATGATAATACATACATACGTACACACACACATATACACATATATTTATAGACACATGTACATATCAGAAGCCAAGAACTGGAAGTCAAGTGGTCTCCTATTAAGTCAAGAAAGGCTGAATAAATTATATGAATGTAATAAAATACTATTGCATCATAAAAAAATGACCCAAAATGATATAGATGAACAGGGAAGTATTAGTACTTCCATGTCAAATTTAATACAGATTTTTAAAAACAAACTGTACATTAACAGAGATGCATGATCTTGTAGACATGATCTCTTTCTTTTCTCCTTTGCATATGGAAGCTTCATATTTGCTGACACTTGTCAAATTCATATTCAAATAATGAGTTTTGAAGATATCAATAATTTTTTTAATTAAAAAAATAGGGTTTCATGTTTTTTACTGAGGAGGGGGATGAGAGATATGGAACACTACATAGAATATCAGACTGGAGGTGGGGGTGGGGGACAGCCATTAGACATTGTGATAGGCTAGTGATGTTTTCTAAAAGGGTACATCAATCAAAAACAGGCTTTTGCTGGGGAAGGGGATCAGTAATGGCTGCTTTTTTTTTTTTAACCAACCAATTAGCTTGGAAAACTTCCAGGTAAGCACCCCAGGATGGCAGATAGAGTGTTTAAAAAGTTTTGGAATTCTGAATTAATTAGTTTTGCTGAAAAACTGTTTTTTCACCTCTTTTTTTAGTAAGAACACTAAATGGCAATAAAAAATTATTTTTAAAAGCATTTTAAAGAAAATGAGGTTTCAGAGGATGTGTCTGACACTACATTTAAAGGTTTCAAATAATGAAAAGGTGCATAAAAATCAAGAAAAAAGGAGGAACTGAAGAAAAGAAATCACTTACTTGACCCACTTCATCAAATGCCATGACCACCACAGCAGCTCCATACTTCTTGATCTTTCTAGCCTTCTCCAGGAAGTCATCCTCACCTTCCTTCAGACTAATGCTGTTGACAACACACTTTCCTTGGCAGCATTTTAACCCAGCCTCTATCACAGCAAAGTTGGAAGAGTCAATACACAATGGTACCTACAATTAGAACAGAGAAGGATGGAAAAGGAGTCCAAATTATTAATTAATTTCTCCTCTGCTTTTCAAATCTCTTTTGTGTTTGTTTAGATTTATTTGTTGACAATCTCTTTTTCAAAAAATGTATGTTCAGTTCGCTTATCTTCTTTTCTATTTTGTTTAAGATTTTTTTAGCGGCATCCCAGAATTTGGGAAATGTTGTTTTGTCATTATCATTTTCTTTCACATAATTATTAATGATTTCTAAGATGTTCTTTGACCTACTCATTATTTAGGATTTCATTAAATCTACATTTGGATCAACTGTGTCTTTTGTTTGTGCTCCTTAAACTGATTACTCTATTTATTACATTATGAGCTGTAAAGAATATGCTTACTATTTCTACTTCTTTATTTATTTGCAATTTCTCTGTGCCCAAATAAAAGGTCAATTTTCATAAAAGTTCCACATGTTCCTCAAAAGTACATATATTACTTAGCAGTTCAATTCAGAAAATGCCCTAAGTCTTTTATCTCTAGTTTCTCTAGTAGTTTGTTCAAACTCTGTATTTCCCTTTTGTTAATCATTTTACTTCATTTGTCCAAAACTGAAAGGATATTGAAGTTCCCTACTATTGTATTACTATGTCTTTTTAAAATTCAATTATTTTTTTCTTTATGAAGTTAAATGCCATGGCATTTAGAACATACAAGTTTGAAATTGATTTATGACCCCTTTCAGAATAATGTAGTATCCTTTTTTAAAATCATTTTTATGTTGCAAATTTTTTTTGCTATCTAATAGCACAATTGCAACTGCTTTTTTGTATTTGCCTGATGCATGGTTGATTTTGTTCTGGCCCCTCATTTTCATTCTAGGTAATTTTTTTTGCTTTTTAGGTGTGTTACTTGTAAGCTATAAATTGTGGGGTTTTGCTTTCTCATTCAATCTATCACTCCTTCATTTTACTGGATTGTTTATTCCATTCACATTTAAAGTTATCAGGTTTATATTTTCTTTCATTCACCACTAACACTGAATGAGGTTTTTTTGGTTATTGTTTTTGTTCCTCTTCCTTTGTAAAGACAGTTATTCTTGCTTAATTTACGTGAAGGCAATCCAATTCCCCCAGGATCTCTTCCCCTCAGCCTCAAGCCCTATGCCCTCCCATTTATCACTCCCTTCCTCAGTTTTGAGTTTTACTTATTAATTCATTTTCTCTTCCTTTTATCTAGTCACCTATTGTTCCCCTCTTCTTTCTCTCTCAGTTAAGCAAAATCCTCCCCCTTCAACTTCTTTTATGTGTTCTTTTTTTTATTTTCTGCACATTTTTTAAAAAAAACAATTCGTCCCTTCATTCTCTTTATTAACCTTCCCTTTCTGTTAATTCTAGACTTTTATTTTTTAATTCATGGTTTTAATACCTACTTATGTCTTCTTTATTCTCTATATTCCTCATGGAATTAAAATTTTTCATGCACCTATTTTGAGTTCCCTCTTACAAATACTTTCTATGTTATCACCACCTTGCAGATCTTATTCCCTCCCACCCCTCCTTTTCTTCTAAGGTACTTCATTCTTATTAATTCCAGAAGAGGGAAAAAATGGTTTCATATTGCTCCATAGTAGAAAGTATGGAGTGAGAAATGAGAAGAAAATCTCATTCCATTCCTTTGCAAAGTCAGGGGTCCACAGGCATGGTACACTGCAAATGTTTTTAGACTTTTTTTGATTTACTGATTAGTTTTGCTGATTACCCTCCCTCTATTTTGCTTTTTTCTTTCTTTCTTTTTTAAAACATTATTTGTTATATAGAATGACTCTCTGGGAAGGAGAAGGGAGAGGAAGAGGATATTAGGAGCAATTCTGATGGTGTAAAAAATGCAGCAAAATTTTAATTTGAAAAGATCTGAGGGGCAGGGATTGGTCACTAATGGGGCATATGCTACAGCCAATTTTCCAACATCCCAAACACACACATTTGACTTCACCCAGGCAACACCAAAGTAAAATTAAAACAGGAGCACAGAGGCAAGAGTCTGAAATAATTAGAGGCGCTTTCCCGTCATGAGAGCACTTAGTTGATCCTCAAGCATGGAAAAGGGTTAAGCTAGTATCTGAGAAAGGAACCAATAAGTGTCCCTTTCCCTGGCTTCGGTATCAGCTTACCCACTTCAAGTGCCTAAATGCCAATGTAATCACCTTAATATAGGATTTAGGCATCTCAAAGTCAGACACTGCTCTGTCTTCAGGATTACTGTGTAGCTTCATGCCCTTCAGAAAAAATCTCCTAGCCAAGGTATTCAAGGCATTCACATTCCTGACTTGAAATAACCCCAGCTTTTGGCATCCAAAGGAAGAAGTAAATGTAGCTTACAGCATCTGGGTAAAAGGCTAACCTAGGTCTGAATGGAAGCAAACAAATGAAAATGTTATATTCCCCTTTAATTCTGACCTAATGTTCTCCTTCAGCAATTCATGCCTTAGCCTCAGAAAAAAAGTGATATAAATAACAAGCCAAGAAAAAAAACCTCAAACGATCATTCAAAGAGGAAAGACGTTTTAAGATTAAGAAGGGCAGCCAGGATGATGCAGCAAACAACCATTACTCAAGGGAAGAGGATCCAGGTCCCTTAGTTTTAATTCCCTAAAACCTGGAGGTCTGCCCTCTATCTAGGCATCTCCACGCTTATCTATTACCCTCCACCAGAGGGTAGCAAAGGAAAGCGAACTGAGTAAGTTACATGAGTGATTATGCTGTTTCTTCTCACTCTGGATTTAAAAAAAAAAATTGAAATTGATGGCAAAAACGAAATTTTTTAACTTTATGCGGTTTTTTTTGTTTGTTTTGATTTCCGAAACTCAATCACTCAGGCTGGAAGTACAGGAGGCTGTGGCCCAAACCCAACGTGATCAGCAGAGAAGCCCTGACAGGCCAGCCCTAATTCTGACTGAGGGCGAATCACTCAGGCAGCATGGTGGGTCCCCCACCCCGGGAGGCTCACCACGCTGGTGCGGGACACCCCCTCGGCTTCAGCTCACCGCAGCAGAGAGCTCCCAAACTCAATCAGTTCACCAGCCTCAGCCTCCCCATCAGCAGCAACTATAAGCATGCATCACCACACCAAGTCATGGATTTCTAAAATGAATACAAAGCCAAGTATGCAAGAAGAGCTACTTGGCAGGAAGGTCATGTCCTTAAAATTGAAAAACTTTTGCTTTTAATATTGCAGGAACTTTAGTCATAGAACTCTCCTGAAGGAAGCAAGATAATAATATAAAAGCTAAGGTTTACTTAACACTTCAAGGTTTACAAAGTGCTTCACAAGTATTTTCTCATGTAATCCTCACAACAACCCTGGCAGGCAGCTGCTATTATTGTCTCCATTTTATAGGTGACGAAAAGGTTAAGTGACTTGGCCAGGGTCACACTGCTGGAAAGTATCTGAGGCCAGATTTGGACTCAAGTTTTTTTGATGCAAGGTCCAGCACTTTTCACTGAGCCACCTAACTGTCTATATTAATGTGCATAAAGTATTCTGCAAAATTTAAAGTATTATACAAAGTCAGTTGCTGCTGCTAGTGGTGCTGTTATTATAAATGGGTATATTACCTTGTTCCCTATATTGCAGAAGTGGGGGCACGGGGTATAGAACACCATATACATTGTCAATCCCAGTCAATGTGTTGGGTCATTGCACTGACCTGCTTTTTTTGCCCTTTTTAAAAAAAAAAATCTTTGCTCTTAAGAGATGGCTCACTCAAAAGAGAAAAAGAGACATTTGGAAACTGATGTAGAAACAAAAATCATTAATAAAAATCTTAAGTGGCTATATTTTAGTATTAGAGCTCTGAAATCAAGGCTTGATTTCAACTCTTCAATGACTAACCTTGAACAACTTACTGATTTACAACTTGATAACCTTGTCAAATAAAAAAAAAACATCCTTAGTACTAGTGGCAGTAAATATTTACTACCACTTTTGGGAAAAGTGCTTTGAGAGGCACGAATGAAGGATGAAAGACTAGAAACATTAGAACTTTCTCCCAGCCTATTTCTCCTAAAACGCTTAAACCTACACTAAGACTTTTGGGACACTCTACATTTGACAAAATCTAATTTCCCATCTCTAAGGTAATATCATTAATTCTTAAAATAACAGCTAGTTGGTGGGAGAGGAACCTCTGGAACCCCCTCCCCATCAGCTCATCCATCTTTAACAAAAACAGAAAATCATGGGGCATGATGGGAGGAAATTAGGTCAGACAATATTGTTTCCATCTTCAATTTGACTAGCTTCGCTGACCTCCCTCCTCCTTGAAGGATTAACTAAGTCCTTTTATATTTATGCTGGAAGAGACAAAAGATTAAGTAGCAATAACATGAAAGAGCTAAGGATTTCATGCCGAGCTGGTAATGTACCTCTTACAGATCTAAGAGATGTAGAATGAACCAACATGTACATTTACAGAAACTTGGGAATAAATTAAGAATAGTATTCAGCATTTTGAACACTTGTTGGGTCCAGAAACCACTCTTCAAAGAGTGGAATACTAGGCATAGAGTCAGAATCCTATTTCAGATACTTAGTAGCTGTGTGATCCTGGGCAAGTCACTTGACGACTCTGAGACTCAGTTTTCTCATCTGTAAAACAGGGATAAACCCAACCACCTGATAAGGTTTCTTTGGAAGATGAAAAGAGAAAATGTGAGGAGAGTATTTTCTGAACCTTACGATGCTACCCTAAATATTGGTTGTTATTGCTGCTGCTGTCACTATCATCAACATCAACATCATCATCAATCCATCCATCCATCCATCCATCCATCCATCCATTCATTCAGGAGGTTCAAGGCAAGAAACAGCAAAGAAGATACTTGCTCCAGGACAATGTACTTTAAAAACTCTAAAGAAAGACAAATTCATGACCTATGTGATTAAAAGGGTGCCCAAACAAGCTGAAACAAGTGTAACGAGAGTAACATAACACCGTGATTAAATTAAGCACTACCTTGGCAATATCAGGTTCAGAAGCAATGAAGTTACAAAATTTGGTCATAGCACTGGGGCCATCCAACATTCCATCATCCATGTTAACATCCAGAATCTGAGCTCCCATCTCCACTTGGGCTTTACCCACACTCAGAGCTTCCTGTAGGAGAAACAAAAGAGATGCATTAAGACTCCTGACCCAATGCAGCAGAAGGCACCACATTTACTTATCTCTTATTATACCATGATCATTTGGGTTAAAAAGTAAAAATCACAATCCATGGTACTAATGTTATCTTAAAATTCCAAAGGAAATTCTCAATCAGTCTCTCTTACGTTTAGATACATCTTCCATGTTATCAGTTATCTTCCAGTCTCCCAGACTAGAAATAAGAATCATTCAATGAGAGAATAACACTTCTGGTCCTTCTCTTGCCTTTTCCTCTTACACGACCTGTCACCAAATCCTGTTGATTTTTCCTTAAGACACCACCATTTTGAAGCTTTCCTTTTTAACCAGAAGACTTCCATGCTTGTCCAAGATTTTACTGCATCATGCAACATACTCTAAAACCCCTCAAATCCAGGGTCTTCCCATCAATCTATTTAGCTGTCAGACTAATCTTTCTAAAATAGCACTTTCATCACATCATACCCTATACTCAAGAATCCATAAAGTCTCCTTATTATCTGTCAGGCACATCAAAACCAAACTGCTCCATCTAGTTTTCAGGCCCAAAATGATCAGATGTCATCCTAACACGACCATATGAATTTTCCATTTGTCTCACAAAATGCTATTTCCATCCCAGTCAGGTTTGTCTTGTAGCCCTTCCTCACACACATCAGGTTCATTCCTCTTTCCGTGCCTTTGCTCATGGTGTTTCCTTTGCCTAAAAAGCAGGTTCCCTTCAATTACCAAAATCCTTCTTGTATCTCAAGGCCAAATGCACATACCACCTTCTTCATTAAGTCTTTTCCATTAACTGCCCTCACTTTTGATCACTCTTTCCCTTCTCAGAACTTCTACTGCACTAAAAAAAAGGACAACTATTTAATATCTTAAGAAATTGTCAATTATTTTTCTTATGCTCATTTCATCTCCATAATTGGTCCATAAGCTAAGGCTAAGGCTGTATGTCTTCTAAAAGTGGCTGTCACATAGGAGGTACTCATTAAATATATGCTGACTGATGGATACAGTAGAGTCACATGTATGCATGTGTATGTGTCTATATTAGTCTTCTTGGCATGAAAAAAGGAGATGATAAGTACCAGACATTCATGTTCTCATAGCATGGAAATTACAGTTGAGTTTTTTCTAACCCTAAGAAGACCAAATTGAAATTTACAGTACTTACTGAGACAGAGAAGGAATAAGGGTTTTTAATTTGTATCACAAAAATAACATTGATTATTACCAAGAGAATGGTTTCAAAGAATTACAACCCAAAGACAATTTTTGTTAATAGCAGTTGTGTCCCACACATACATACATAAATGAAAGATAATAGCAGTGAGTAGTAAATGGGAACTCTAGGTTTCACAGGGTCATAGATGATGAAAAAAAAAAAAAAAGTAAGTTTGAGAAACAGATCTCGAGCTTTACACAGACACCTGTTAACGTAGTGATGGAGGTATTCAATTATCCAGGCATCTGCTGGAGCTCTCCCTCTGGCAAAAGTAGAGCAACTAATACCTTCTTCACTTAATAATAATCTCATCATTTGATAAAGTGAAAAAATAAGCAAGAAGTTATATCTTGGTTCTGATTCTAACTATTTAGAAATATAGGGAGAAACTATTTGCCCAAGTAGAAATGATGGGAACCTTAGAAGGAAATGATTACTATATCCTAGAGTTTGTGGTAGAGGAGAAGAAAGTCAGACTGTCTGACATGTACCTGCCATTTTGAGAATGCACATTTCGAAGAGTTCAGAGGAAGGATAGAAGAATCCCATGAATTAAAATTCTCCAGTGGAAGACAGGGATAGGAAACTCTCAAGAATAAAATCTGGACACCCCAAAGGGAAATAATTCTGTTGAAGTTTAAAAAACAAAACAAAACAAAAAACAACCCTTTATTTAAACAGACCAGTGTGGTTAGAGATAACTCACCAACCAACAAAATTTTTGAAAGATACATACAAAAGATGGGAAAAGGAGCAGGTAACATGAGGTTGAATTGTCCTGTAAAAAGGACTGCTAGAACTCAGAATGACTTGAGGCTGGTAAGAAAAAGGAGGGGTTTTATGGATATACTGGGAGAAAGTGGAAGACCAAAGAAAGGGCAGCACTGCTTATACATGTCTCCTTAAGGCCCCTGATGTAAGTAGCACGTAAGAACAAAAAAGGCAGAAAAAAATAGTTTTTGTGTAAAGGAAGAGATTTCTATTAATTGTCAAAGGATGTAACAATAGATTGCTGCTATTAGGGATGAACATTCCGATGGCTGATATGAGAAGAAAAGGAATTTTTGTTTTACTATAAATTGCTAAAATATGTGTATGAAGAAAGATGACTTTAAGACAGGATTTGGACAGGTTTAGAAAGAAAATTATAGTTATTATAAATGTGAGGACCTGGAACTCAAATTCAAAGTGTGGTGATGCGTCACTTGTGTGGAAATGGTTTAATGCTGTAAAGAGGAAGAGAAAGTTTCTTATTTATTGAAACTAGATAAGCACGAGTAGGAAAAAAAAACAGTTTCAAGGACACCAAAGAGATGGAGGAGTCCATCAAGAACTTTAGAGCTTTCTCTTTGCTCTCCTTTGACCTCACTGGCTTAACGTTCCAACGGCAACTAATGCCCTTCAGCACCACCTGCAGGTGAAAACAGGTAAAGCTTTTTTTTTCAGAAACACATGTTGTTCTCTGGGGCCACCTTTGGCAAACCTTGAAGCTTTATTTAAAAAAAAAAATACACATACACACACACAAATAACCCCACAAAGAGCTACTAATAATACTTCTCGTTCAGTCGTGTCTAACTCTTTTGGGGTTGGTTTGTTTTTTTGGCAAAGATACTGGAGTGTTTTGCCATTTGCTTCTCCAGCTCATTTTAAGATGAGGAAAACAGGCAAACAGGATTAATAACTTGCTTAGGGTCACACAGCTAGAAAGTATCTGAGGCCAGATTTGAACTCATGAAAATAAATCTTCCTGACAACAAGCCAAATATTCTATCTGCTGTGCCACCTAGCAGCCTAGCACTTATGGTATCTGTAATATTTTTGTTATTAAGAAGATAGTTTGCAGTGGACAGAGCACCGGCCCTGAAGTCAGGAGGACCTGAGTTCAAATCTGGCCTCAGACCAAACACTTGACACTTACTAGCTGTGCGACCTGGGCAAGTCACTTAACCCCAACTGCCTTAAAAAAAAAAAAGAAGAAGAAGATGGTTATCTTTAAGACCCAAGAGAGGCAATATTATGAGAACTGATTTATGAATATACACACCATTAACATAAATAAATACACTACGCACATGTGTTATCTTGTGAGGGGGTGTTTGGGTATATAGAAACACATTGGGTCATGGCTAAAGAGCCAGAGTGGTGAACAGAGGAAGTATATTTTTTTCAACCACAGGATTACTCTCGGACCCTTGGCAGTGGTGGTCTATCTCTGGGATCTTAGACTTGTTGAAGTGGGAGAGCAGGACTGGAGGGAGCAAGCCTCTAGCAGTATGTTTATATCCCATTTTGTCTACAGAGCTTACTATACGACATTTCTATATTTCATAAGGTTGGATGGGATGATGATATCTGATGATGGAAAGACTACCTGTTCAATTCTAATTTTGCTTCTGTCTTCTCTATTAGAGATTTTTGCAATGGACATGACAAAACAAAAATAACTAAATAGGAACCAATTACAAAGATAACAAAAGAGATCTTAAGAGAGCAATTAGCTGATGAACTACAGAAGAACTACACCTTTGCATAGTAAAAAATTAGCAGATATGACTGCTGACACTATCTGAAAGATTGTAGAGAACAGAATATATCTTCCAAGACTGAAATCCAAAAGAAATAAAATGGAGTCTGCAAACTATCGGTAGGTCCCAAGTAGTGCAAATAATGGACCCCGTGAAGTGGTCATATACATTCAAATTCACACCATTAAAAATTATATAACTATGTAAAATATAGTAACTGGTCCAGTCCAATGGAACTATGTAGCACGAAATAGAAGAATGCAACCACTTCAGGGATTTTTTTTTTTTAATTTTATTTGTGTGACCCTAAGCAAGTTAAAAGTCCTAGCAGATGAAGGTAGCTAGGTAGCCCAATGGATAAAGCCTGAGTCTGGAGTCAGAAAGACTTGAGTTCAAATCCTATTTCAGACACTTGCAAGCTGTGTGACCTCAGGCAAGTCACCTTAGCCTCTGTCTGCCTCAGTTCCCTTATCTGTAAAATGGGAATAATAACAGCACCTATCTCCCAGGGTTGAAGTGACAATCAAATGAGATATTAATTATAAAGGGCTTAGCATAGTACCTAGCACTGTAAATGCTATGAAAATGTTAACTACTACTATTATAAACCACTAAGCTTGACTTTGATTCATGGGAAACCTCTAGAATACAGATGGTCAGTAACATCTAGAAAAGGTACTAGTGATTCCAATAAGTCAAAATGGCTTCATAAAGAACAGGCGATGACAGATGAACTTGGTAGGTCAGGAAAACACGGTTATTGACAGCCTGCCTAAAGTCTAATGAATTGTCTGATAAAAATGTTTCATGCTATTCTTGTGGAAAAGACAAAGAGACAAAGCCTACGCAGTAACATAATTAGATGGCTTTGGAACTGGTTGAATGGCCACACTCAAATAGTAGATGTTAATGGTTCAATGAAAACTTGGCTAACTTGACTGGTCTCCTCTAAGAGTGGACAGGATCTGTGCTTGATACTGTACTATGTAATATTAATTAATGAATTAGATAAAAAACATATAATCATCAAAACTGCAGATGACAAATAACTAGGAGGGATAGCTAATGCACTGTATGTCAAACTGCAAAAAAGATCTCACCAGGCAAGAGCATTGGCCTGAATCTATCAAAATAAAATTCAATAGGGACAAATATAAAATCTTACATGGATTCAAAAAATCATCTTCACACCTGTAAGATGAGAGAGGCAATTTTAGACAGCCATGTCTGAAAAATATCTGAGGATGTCAATAGAATGAAAGTTCAATGAGTGCACAATATTATACGTTAGCCTAACAAACTAATAAGATAATCAATATGAGGCAAAGCTTCCCAGAACAAAAAGATCCTTCTGCACTCTGCACTGGTTGGTGCACACATGCGGAATTGTATTTATTTCTGCCCGCCACAGTTTAGGAAGAACATTGATAAGCCAGAGAACATCCTCAGGAGGGTAGCCAGGATAGTGAGAGATCTTAAGTCCATGGCATAGGAAGGAACCAGGAATGTGTAGCTTAGAGAAAAGAGAAAACAAGGGGGAAAAAATACCTTTCTACAAGGATCTGAAAGGTTATCATAGGGAAGAGAGATTAGACTTGTGTTGTTTGGCCTCAGAAAATGAAAAACGAATAATGAATGGATAGAAGTTATAAACAGGCAAATTTATACTTGATGTCAAGAAAAACTTCCTAAGAAGTAGTTATTCAAAAATTTAATGTGCTGCCTCAAGAGGTAGTTGGTCCACCCTCATTGGAGGATTTCAAAGAAGAATGGATGACCACTTACAAGTAGACTATGGTGGGGACTATGTTTTGGGTACATATTAGACTAAAGGAAATCCCTTCCAACTATAAAATTCTATAATTCTGTGAGTTATATCTGCTAAAAAATGAGAAGACCTACCTTGAGAGGAATGAGCTGCCTATCCCTGATAGTGTTTAAGTGAGTTAGATGAGCATCCATCATGGATGCAATAAGACAGTATTCACCACTTTGAGTAGGAAGATGCATTCTAAAATTTTTATGAGTGATAATAATAATTGCTAGACAACTTCAGAAGAGGGAAAGATTCCAGGAAGATGTGGGGCATGACCTTTGAAAACTGAGTAGAATTTGGATATGGGAAAAGACATACTGGGGAAGGGGTGTACATTCTGTATTTCCAGGTCTAACTTTACTCTTGTCTTCCAGTATAATTCTAATTGCCTATTGTAGTGGACATCTCAAAGTGGATCTCCCACAGATATGTTGAACTAAACATATCCAAACTGAATTCATTATCTTTCCCCTCAAAATCCTCTTCTCTTCCAAACTTACCTACTATTGTCAAGGGGACCATCGTCTTCCCAGTTACTCAGGCTTAGAGTCTAGGTATCATCCTCGACTCCTAGCTATCTCTCATCCCCCATATCCAATCTATTGCCAAGTACTTTCAATTTTACCTTTCTAACACCTCCCAAAGATACCCCTTTCTCTCCTCTGACATGGCCACACTCTGGTCTCATCACTTCATTGCAATAACCTACTGGTTGATCTTGCCACAAGTCTCTCCCCATTACCTAAAGCACAGGTTTGACCATGTCACCTCCTTACTCAATAAACTCCAGCGGCTCCCTATTCTTCTGGTTGACATTTTAAATCTTTTGTAAACCCCCTCCTCCCTGACCTTTCCTGTCTTCTTATACCTTAACTCTCCACATACTCTGTGATCCAAGGACATTGGCCTCCTTGCTGTTCCTGACTCCAGGCAGTTTCACTGCCATCTCCCATGCCTGGAATGCTCTCCTTCCTCATCTCTACCTTCTGGTCTTCCTGACTTACTTTGAGTCCTAGCTAAAATCCCATCTTCTACAAGAAGATTTTCCCAATCTCCCTCAATTGTGGTGCCTTCCCTCTGTTGATTACTCCCAGTTTATCCTATTTGTTCGCAAGTTGTCATCCACATTAAAATGTGACTGCCTTGAAAGCAGGGACTGTCTTTTCCCTTTCTTTACATCCCCAGAACTTGGTACAGTACATGGCACACAGTAGGTGACTAATAAATGCTTACTGACTGAAGGGACAAGAGGCACACACAAAGTAGAAAGGCAGAAATGGATAAGGCAGTGCGGGGGCAGGGAGGGGGGAGGAGGGCAATGAGTTGAGGGGTCTAGCACAAGAGGAGATTAGTGTACTAGGAATTAATGGAAGATAGGATTGGAAAGGTAGTTTAAAGTCAGGAATCAAGGCCATGAATGTGGCACAAAAGTCTGGACTTTTTGTTGTGGATAATGGGGAACCACTTTGAGTCTTAAAGCAAGGAAGAGTGATATTACACACAAGCGGCACTTTAGGAAGATTACTATGGTATATCTTGCAGGATGAATTGGAGTTGGGGAGACTGAAAGCAGGAAGATCAATTAGAAGAAATTACAATAGTATAGGCTTGAAGTAATGAGAGTGTGAATGGGTAGAGGGGCAGAGAGAATGGAAAAGCAAAACAAACAGGATAGCAAGAGTAACACATGCATTATGTCAAATCTCTTCAGTTTAGATTTTTAAGCTTCATTTTGACATGATTTTAATCTTAATAGCATTCTTAACAAAAATAGAAAAATAATCAATGAAAACATGGAGCAAGCGTCCAAATAATGATTATCCTTCATCCTTCCACCTCTCTTTTCCACACTTCTAAAAAGGATGAGAGGAGAAACCCCAAATGGAGGACATTCCTCCATTTCCCCCCACCCTCTTCCCAAAGCAGGGAAATAAATAGCAGATGATCTGCCTCACACTGCCTCATCCCAATTCTTGAACATGGAGCTTTTGGTGAATAGTAATGGCAGCTTCAATTTTTCTTGAGGCTTAATCCATAACACCCCCATCCCCCCTTCAAGTTCAAAATTGAGCCCAGTTCATCATCTTCTCACATTTACTCAGCACTGTGACTAATAATATCAAAGGTAGAAGCTGATTAATTCACATGCTGTCTAGCAAAAGAAATAGCATATGCTTCAGTGATCTTATTAGGATGCTCACTTCATAGTTTCCTGCCATGACGAGTTTAGCAAACTTCTTTGACCCTGCAACATTACAGCGTTCACCAATATTAACGAAGTTGGTGTATGGTCCAATCCTGAAGGGCTCTAGTCCTAGAAGGGAGAAGCATTTTGAAATATTTGTGAAAATACATGAAGTAGATGATAGGAGATTAAAAACAAATACATCCATGAGAGAAATACCCCCGTGTTCCTCATCTCATCATATTACAATTTGCTATCTATCTTTGCATAAATGGTTCCTCATGCCCAGAATGCTTTTCCTCCACACTTCTGCCTTTTGGTAATCCTGAGCTATACTAAGACTCAGAAATTTCCTACATAAAGCCTTGTTAGTGTTTCCCCCCTTCCCTGAAATTACTTGTTTACTATGCACATATTTTATATTTACTTATCTGAGTGTATCTTATTTTGCAGTAGTAGAATGCAGGTTTCTCGAGGACTGGGCTGTTTTTATTTTTGTTTTTGTATCTCAGAACCTAGCACAGTGCCTAGCACAGAGGAGGTGCTAAATAAGGGCTTGTTGAATTCAATTAAACTGCAAAGCAACAATGAGGGAAAAGAGACCAAGAGGCCATCTTTCCCTGGCTGCTATATACAGAATAACTAAAAGCCTAGCCTGAAGGCAAATACTTCTCTGAGTCTTTTTCCAAACCCTTTCTTAACTATGAGATATATGGAAGACCCATAACCAATTACCTCACTAAAACTATTGAGGCTGAGAAAAAATGGTGACAGAACAATTAATTCATAATTCTTCCCAATCATTAAAAACTGGAAACCAAAGGGATGAAGAGATTCTGAATCTCATTCTGCTAAGGATGTTTTTCAAGCCCTAAAGTAGAACTCAGGGTTAATGCCTTGCCAAAGATATCTCAGAACCTACGGGGAAAGAACACATGACTCATTACCTAATTGGCAACACTGTCCAGTAGGAAAGCATGTGGCCCAGGCATCCAGAGATGACCTTTATTCTAACTCAACTCCTTAACTATTAAATGGGGATAATATCTTCCCAATCTAACTCACTGAGCAACTGGGTGATAAAACGGGAAAATACTTCAGAAAAAATCAAATGCATGACATAAATTAAAGTGTCATTGTGGTAATTACTAGAGGCCATCTCTGGTTCTACCTTTTCACAGTAAATTATTTAGTTCTAACAATGCCTCAGTAGTAGATGCATATGAGCATAAGATTTAAATCTGTAATAGCCCTTAAAGATCATCTAATCTCACCCCTCTCATTTTATGTATGAGGAAATGGAATCACGAGGTTAGGAAACTTGTCTAAGGTCACACAGGTAGTAAACTGCAAGGCTGGTGTTGAATTTGAGTCCTTCAGATTCAATTGCAATTTTCTTTCCACTGTTTAGGAAACCAAATGGTCCCTTTTCTTACTAGACAAAACAAGGTTAAGGACAGAAGTATGATGGCCGGGTGTCTTTTACCTCACCTCCCAAGTTCAGGTGAGGAAAATGATAAAAACAAGATCGTCTCATCCACTTTCCAACTCTCTACCTTGCCTTCCTGTTAGTCTTACTCCCCCTGGATTCTGCCCCTCCTCCAGCAGTCTCCTGATTGTCCCTGACCCTTTGACTGACCTCAAAACTTGCAGGAAAAGCAAGTGAGGATGCCAAAACTTAAACTGGAAGAATTCCTAAGTGATCTCCCTAAAAGCCTTTCATACACAGTACTTCTAATCTATTATGAATGTGATGGAACTGGATACAAAAACAGCCTGTCCTGCTCATAATTTACAGAAGAGCAAGATGGAAGAGGCTGTCTGAAATATCATTTTTAATCTGCTTCAGAGTCATTCTGCGAGCAATTAGAAATAACACATGAAGCTGAAGTTGGAGCCAAAGGGTCCCCTCATTTTTATAAATACACTCTTAAAACAATGGTGTATAGAGAATATCATGGCACGTTATGTAGGGCAGGCTAGGTGGCTCCATGGATAGAGTGCTAGGCTGAGTCAGGCAGACCCGAGTTTAAATCCTGCCTCAGACATTAGCTATGTGACCTTGGGAAAGTCACTTAACCTTTGTTTGCCTCAGTTTCCTCATCTATAAAAAGGGGATAACTGCACCTACCTCCTAGCCTTGTTGTGAAGATCAAATGAGATCATTGTAAAGCACTTAGCATGGTGCCTGGCACACAGTAAACACTATGTAAATGTTAGCTACTGTTATTAATGGTGTATAGAGAACATCATGACACACTGTGTTGGCAGCTACGTGGCATAGCACCAGGCCAGGAATCAGGTAGACCTGAGTTCAAATCCAGCCTCAGACACTTAATAGCCATCACTTAACCTCTGCTTGCCTCAGTTTCTTCAACTATAAAATAGGGCTAACAGCACTTACCTCCCAGGGTTGTTGTGAGGATCAAATGAGATAATTTTAAAGCACATAGCACACTGCCTGCACACAGTAAGCACCATATAAACTTTAACTATTTGTAGTCACAGTAGTACAGGGGAAGAGCTAGCCTTGGTGGCAAGGAGATCTGGCTTTAAGATCCTGAGCAAGTCAGTTCACTTAGTGACCCAGGCAATTGTCTAAGACTGTAAGAACACAGAACGTGCTGCTTTTTTTCTTTGTTGGCAGAGAAACCCAGGACTTCCCTATACTGATGAAATCACATAGGTTCAGTTAAAAAAATTTTTTTACCTAAATTAAATAAAATAAACGTTGTTTGTTTTGTTGTTCAGTCGTTTCAGTCATATCCGACTCTTTATAACCCCATTTGAGGTTTTCTTGATGAAGATACTAGAGTGGTTTGCCATTTCCTTCTCCAGCTCTTTTGCAGATAAGGAAATGAGGCAAATAGTGTTAAGTGACTGACCCAGGGTCACACAGCTAGTAAGTGTCTGAGGGCAGATCTGAAGTCACGAAGATAAGTCTTCCTGACTTCAGGCCTGGCACTCTATCCACTGTGCCACCTAGCTGCCCTAAATAAAATGAATGATCTAAATTAATAGTTCACTTCCTATTCCATGACAACAGACAGGAGAATTTAAATTGTGGCCTCAATTAAGACTGGTATTTCATTTTGAGGTCTTTCAAATGAGATACCAGCCATCTGAGATTACTGTTCCCCTGCCCCTCAGCCTTTTGGGAGGCAGAAGGAGTAAAGGTCTGGTCTTGAGGAAGCATGGCTCTTCTGCCCCATGGCATTTAGATGCCAATTCCTCATCTTCCATCAGTGGCCCTGCTTTGGTTTCCAATAAAATGACTATCTGGAATCTCATCTCCATGCAGTCTGACTCGGCTTTTAGTACTCAAAAGCTCTCATGCCAAGTACCTCCTGATGCCACCCTTACCCCACCCAGCTTCTTTTGTGCAGCGTCTTCATCTGTGCAGCCCTTCATCTGAGGGCAAGAACTATCTTTCCTTTTTGGATCTCCAGCATTTAGCACAGTGCCTGGCACAGAGAAGGCACTTAATAAATGTTTACTGAATGGAATTGAAGGTAGCACATTGAACAGAGCACTGGGCCTGCAGTTAGGAAGCCATGAGTTCAAATCTGGCCTCTTATAAGCTGTGTAATGCTGGGTAAGTCATCTAATCTCTGTCTGCCTCAATTTCCTCAACTGTAAATGGGGATAATAATAGGACCTACCTCCCAAGGTTGTTGTGAGGGATCAAATGAGGTAACATTTGTAAAGTGCTTAGCACAATGCCTGGCTCACAGCAGGCATTTAATAAATGCTTCCTTCCTCCTGTTTCAAACTGACTTCCCTTTTTCTATCAGTCCTGCCTACTTGACACTTGTACTGATGAAAAATTGGATATAAGCTCTGCAAGCATGTATATTTTATTCTGTGTGAATTACGGTAACATAAAAAGCTTTTTAAAATTTTTAAATTGTTAATGTTAAGGTAATGAAAAAACTAAATGATCTCCCTTTAAAGAGATTTAATTGTTGTAAGTGTTTCAATTGTTTAAATTGTTAATTGTTGGTGACAAGTACATGACTGCCATGGTTATCCTGTCTACATGATTTCTTGCTTCTATTTAACGCATATAGCATTCTGCTCAAGTAGATCTTCTGAGAAGTGAAATATCTGTTGGACCCAGGACTAGATTTTAAGGTTTTTCTTTTTCTATGCAGTTCATATGATCTGGTCATATCTTATTTTAGTTCCTTTTTTTTTTTCCCCTCAAACTCATCCTTGAAAAGTCCTTATGTTAGAAGTCAGTAAAAAAAAAAATCCTAGGAAGATACATCTGCTCATAATTAAAAGTTAGTCATTGACAACCACCTCTCTTCTCTTGAACATTCTTAGGTAGGGAGATAGTGAACCATCCCTCTACCTGTCTCCAATTCCACAGCCACATTGCAGTGGTTTGTCATAATCAGCCTCCAATCCCTCTGAAACTGTCTCCCAAGAGGCAGAAGCCAGCCCACTATAGTGGGGGGAAAGCACTGGTCTTAGAGTCAGACTACCTGGGTATAAATCCCCTCTTCTATTATGGGTTTTTGGTTTTTATTTCATCTGACAAAGTAAAGGAAGAAATCAAAATATCTCACAAATTAGTGAGATTTTAAATGATGATCTACCATTTATTAATCGTCATAGTGTCCTTGAGCCCTGGTTTACTCATTTATCAATTGATAAACATGAATTAATTAAGCTCTCCCTATGTATTTCCATGGTATAAGCAGATGGGGGCTGGTCTTGGGGTCCAGAAGACCTGAGTTAAAAAAGACTAGTCTGGATTCAAGTATCGCCTCTGACACCCCCTGGCTATGTGACTCTGGGCCAGTCTCTGGCAAGACTCCTCAGTGCTCTGGGCCACTCTCCCAAGACAGTAAGTTTCAGAGAAGACGCCAACCTGCTTTGGTAGAGTGGGAGGGGGAATTTTCTTCTCTGGGAGTTCCCCAGCTCAATAACATCTCAGGTCCAGTCCCTATCTGTATCCCTGTGGGCCAGATCCTATTAGGTATTAAGGAGATGAAGGCAACCAATGAAACAGTCCTTGCCTGCAAAGAATTTACTTTTTATCAAATGCAAATTCTAGCATCCTTAAATAACACTTGTGTTACTATTAACAACACAGAGCAGGTGTGATAAAAGCACCTGGTAAGCTGTAATGGGCCAGACATATAATCACAGAATCTAATCCAATCACAGATCATCCAATCCAACACCCCCATGTTAAAGATAAGGAAACTGATGTCCAGAGAGCATAGGGTCACATAATCAGAGACCAGTAGAGATGTGCCTCAAATCCAGACTCTCTGACCCCTTCTAGACAGTCATATTGCCTCTACAAGACATTCTTATCACTTCTTTCCCCAAAGGATGAGGAACTAATGAGTTTAAGGGCCTTGATGGATTATGAAACCAAAGTAACTCAAGTCTGGACCACAAGTTGGAGGAAGGCCATGAGCACCTGGCCCTACTCGGTTTGAAGTCTTCAACTTGGGCTAAAAGCTAGTCTTCAAGGAAAATTTGTACTGTGGAAATCCAGTCACTGAGTGAAACCTAGTTAATGTCTGGCCAGATTTTCCAGTTCAGCATTCAAGCTATGTACTTTAGGTGGTCTTCATGTCCCACCCAAAGATAAGTGAGTGACTGCCAGTTAGAAACTCCTATTATAAAAGGATATCTTTTTCTTTGGCTCCACGAACAATTCCCATTCCACACATGATGATATCAACCACCAACAGGCATGAAATGAACACCCACACTGGAATAAATCAATGATCAATGCAATCATAAAGGTTACTGATTTAAGGACTCACCTGACAGCAACATATACCCTTCAAAAACAGCTGCAGGGGGAACTCTAGGTTTACAATTTTTCACAGCTTCTGCAATTTCCCTGAGTTGAAAAACAAAACAAAAACACTAGAACTGTCAACTTAAGATAAACTTAAACTCATTTTAACTATAAAATTTGATCTACTTAACACAACTGTGCAATTGATTATGTGCCTAATTCTAAATTTTCACCAATAATCTTGACTTTTAATTTGCTCAGTAAAGCAGAAAATCATTCATAAATCTTTTATATATTTAAATATAAAAGTTACAAGTAACTTTTATCCACACAGCCACAGTTTGCTGGGCACTCACTATACATGTGACTGGATTTCTAATCTAAATATACATAACAGATCATGCAGTTGATAACAGATTATTTCTAGTTTATTTGAGAAAAGTCACCCGACTGCACATCTCTTAACCCAGCAATCCTACTACTGAACATACAACTCCCAAGGAGGTCAAACACAGACACAGAGGTCAGGTTGCATGTATACCTAAACATTCAGTGTCATTTTTTTGGGCAGTAAAACTAGAAATAAAGTGGATGTCATCAACTTGAGAATGGCCAAATAAATTATGGTAAATGAATGTAATAGAGTATTATTGGGCTGCAAGAAATTATGAATATTTAGAATTCAGAAAAGTATGAGGAGACCTATATGAACTGATTCAGGGAAGTAAGCAGAATCAGAGAAATATAGTTTGTCAATCAACAAGCATTTATTAAGCCCTTACTATGTACCAGGCACTGTGCTAAGTGCTAGAAATATAAAGAAAAGCAAAATCAGTCCTTGCCCTCAAGGAGTTCACATTCTAATGACAATTAGAGAACATATATAAGATAATATACAAATAACTAGGTAGAAACAGGATACATACAAAGTGGATGAAAGGTAATTCCCGAGGAAACAATGACTACAACGACATCAATAAAAACCAACAGTGAAAGGCAGCTATATCCAATTATATCCAATTTTGGCCCCATAGAACAGATAACGAACCAAAATTTTCTCCACCACAAGAGAGGTACAGAGCTGGTAGAGCTGAGCTTCAAATCCAAAGCCTCTGGATGCTGCATCAGCTTTTATACACAATGGCTGTGTTGGATGGTTTTGCTTAAATATTCTACGTCTCTAGTCCTATCCTGTCACCTGAGTAGCAGATCCATATCACCAGCTGACTCTTAGACACCTCAAACTGAATGTTCTACAGACATTTCGAATTCAATATACCTCAAACGGAGCTCTTTATCTTTTCCCAAAACCCTCCCCTTTTCTGAACTTCCCTATTACTGTCAAGAGTACCTTTTCCCATTCACCCAACCTCACATCTTAGGGGATATATCCTAAACTCCTGTTTGCATTCACCCCATACATCCAAATCTACTTTACAAGTCTTCTTTTTTCTACCTTCATTACCACTACAGTATACACTACCTTCTCTGAAGAGAAGTTGCCACAGCTGCCACCCTGGTACAAGCCCCCAGCACTTCTCACATGGATTACTGTAATCCCCTTCTAATTGGCCTCCCTGCTTCACCTTGTTCCTCCATTCAGCTACTCAAGTGAAAGCACAGGACTGACCATATCACACCCTCCTCTCCCCTGATTCAATAAAACTCAGTGGCTCCTTACGACTTCCAGGATCAAATATAAAATTCTGTTTGGCTTTTAAAGCCTTCAGAACCTGGCCTTTTCCTACCTTTCCAGTCTTTCTTACCTGTTACTCCAGTGACACCAATGTTCTTGCTCATACTTTCATAGGACAACTCCATCTCTCTACACCATGACTTTTCACTGCCTACTCCCCATGCCTAGAATGCTCTCCTTATGAACCTCTGCCTCCTGACTTCTCTATTTTCCTTGAAGTCTCAGTTAAAATCCCACTTGATACAGGTCTTTTTTTTTTCATTTAATTTTTAATGTATAGAATAAAACAAGCATTTCCCTAACATATTTTTTAAAAAGATGATTACCCATGAAACTGCAAATTGCTGTTCCTTTTAAATACATAATAAAGTTATCATGTAAATTTCTTTTTAAAGATGGCTACCATCAGACACAAATATGTATTTATCAAAATGCATACATGATCTATATATAAAGAGAGATATTACAAGAAAATCTGAAGAGCAATGAGGTCTTTCTAGGTCTGCCACAGCTCCCACAGCTCCCACATCTCCCACATCTCCACTGCTGTGCCTTCCCAAGATTATTTTCCATTTTCACTGTGTATATATTTCTCTTATATAGTTATTTGTATGTTTGTTTTCTCCTCCATTAGAACGTGAGCTGTGGGAGGACAAGAACCATGTTTTTGTCTTCTTTGTATCCCTAGCACTTACTACAGTTTCAGTGCGAATAGTAAGCACTTAACAAATTCTTATTGATACCTATTAAGGGACAGTTCATTGTGAGTGTCGTGTGCAGAGAATAATACTGGGAAACAAGTGTGATAAATAAAAAAGCATCAATTAATTTTTAAAAAGACAAAGAGCCTCAAATTGTTGGGTTTTTTTTTTTACTTCTTTTCACAAAACAAAAGACTATGAGCCACTAGTTTACCAGCAAAAAAATGTTTAGTCTAGGCTAAAGGACATAGTTAGATAATACATTACAAGCAAGGCAAAGCACATACACAAGGCACAGTTTGCAAAACAATCATTTCCAGGAAGATTAAAAAATAAGCTTCACCTTCTGCTAAACACCTTAAACTTCAGAGTAGGCTGAGGCTTCAGACAATCATGGTTTCCATCAACCAGGAACCACGTCCTTCTAGCAATGACTGAAATCCTTCAATATGCCAATCAATCTGCTATCTAAGTGATGTGGGCATTGTTTCCAACAAAGTGGATCCCAAGCCCTCCATGCCTTTCGATTCTGTACAACTTTCACTCATGTCCTCCTTAAAAATCCAACAGAGATGGTCCATACAATGTGCTAGAGGCCTTCCTTACTTTTCTCTTGACATTGCATACACCAGCAAGAAAGCATGTAGGCCATCAATCGATTACTCCTAGCTAGGATGACTCCATCAAAATTTCCAGGAGCAACAGGCATATCCTTTCCCCTACATTCTCAGACAACGTGTACATATGGTACAAAAAGTTCTGTGAGATCACTTTTTTAAAATGAGAACAAAACCAAAACACACATAAAGAATAAATGGAAAGCAAAATGAAATAGCTTATAATTCAAATAATAGGATATATATGGATTATGTGTGTGTTTGTAGTCAAATCGATGCTACCTAAAGAGAAATGACTGAAGAGTTTGAAAAATGCAATTCATTAAGAATCTTACTCAAGCTCCAGAAGCAAAATGAAATAAGCTGAATCACAACTACAAGCATTTATCATGTGAGAACAGATTTAGCTGAATTGGCTGGCTCAAGACCACAAACCTAGCCAATGGACATGCTAGGACAAACAAAAATGTTCAATAGCTTTTGTGCCTGTTGTTTTATGAAGAACACTGGACTTGGGAATCAGAAGCCCTGGGTTCATGATACAGCTCTATTCCTTTACTGGCCACATAACCCTGGACAAGTCACTTAATCTCTGTGAGCCCCAATTTCTTTAAGTATAAAATAATCACACTTTTACTATCAATTTCACTGGGCTGTTGTAAGGAAAGCACTTAGGGGCCTATAAAACACTATGTAAATATGAGCTATTATAATTACCCTCTCCCACACATACAGGAAAGAAATTTAAATTGTTTCTGAAAAATCTGGTTGTCCTTCAGAGTACAGATCTTGCCTCCCTCTTCCTTCCATGAAAATATTCTTCATGAAACTGTAGTCCCTCCCCTACAAAACATGACTTTTTCCTCTCTGGGAGACAACAGTGGGTCATCTTACCTGATATGAGCCGGCGTGGTACCACAACAACCACCTACAACATTGACCAAACCATCCAATGCAAAGTTCTGTCAACAGAGGCAGAAGATCGTGAAGAGTTAGTTTGAATTCCAGAATTTACCCCTCAATCAAACAGGCTCAAAAAAAGACCTCCACCTGCTAAGTTTCTAGGCAGAACACTCTAAGAAGGTTCAAAGAAGAACCGGTGAAGTATTTAACTCTGGAAGGAAATGCTAACACATGTCCTTCCCATCTGATTTTGAAAGCGGAGGAGAGCCAGGGTTATTTGAAATCTGCTGCAGTACCAAAAAAAATTTGCAGTGAGAAATTATTCTGTCAGTCTATCCCAGCAGTTTTTTAAACCTACGGTGAGGAGGCTTAGACAGAATAAAAAATTCCTTAGGTAAAAACCATTACTAACTCTACCAGGAAATCTCTTATTTAAATTCTTGGCATTTATTACAACAAAGGATCGCAAATATTTTATCCTAATATCCCTGTCTGGGCTGCCTTCCCATATGAAGTTCTTTAGGAGGCAAAGACCACAATGCAGGGAAAAAAGACACTTTTTCTTCGTTATCTGTCTAACAGACTTCTCCTTTAAGAAACGAGCTTAAGTATTATTCTGACTCATCAACACTTCCTAAGCCAAGTTTTGTATTTGTTTGTTTTCAGCAAAGCTGTTTTTATAAGTGCCTCTCCATAAGCAAAGATGAACAACTTCTCAGCATGACATTATGGATAAAAATCTGGAGTCCAGGAGACCTACATTCAAATTCCACCACCTCTGCTACATTCTGGCTGCATGGCTCCACACAAATCACCTAACCTCTCAGGACACCCAACAAGCCACGTTTGCTCCCACTAAAACACTTTAATGGAAACATCTAGCCTTCAGTCAGGGAGCAGGCCTTGGAGTCAGAAAGATCAATCAATCAACATTTATTAAGCACTACTATGTCCCACAGGCAGTGCTAAGGCTGGGGCTACAAAAGGAGGCAAAGGACACTGCTCTCAAGGAGCTCAGCTTCAGGCCTGCATGACCAGGGCACATTTCTTAACCTCTCAGTACCTCAAAGCAACACTCTAAGACTGCCATTAGTACTGGTTTCCTTTTTCCTATCTCCAGAGCTAAGCAAATGGTCCCACAAGTAGTAGTTGCTTAATTAATATTGGTTCAAATGGAAAAAGAAAATACTTTCATTGAGAGGGGGCTTGGTATGATCCTAAAACTTAGGAAAATTAGTTTCTGTTTCTAGATCTGCCACTACCGAGCTATCGACAAGCCAATGAACTTCTCTGGGCCTCAGTTTCTTCATCTGTAAATGAGGAAGTCTGACTAGATGCCCTTTATGGTCCCTTCCAGCTCTAACAATCTATGGCCCCTAAGAACCAAAAATTAAGGAAAAAGTTCAGACCTTCATATGCATGGCAGTCATTTCAGGTGTTTCATCATACTCGCCAAAGGTATTGGGAAGACCTAGAAAAACATTTTAAAATTGAGTATTAGAATATAATTCATAAGACTGAAATATTCCTATCTGTTGACTCAGAGACCTCACTACTAGGTATATACCCTAAGGAGGTATTGATCAAAAAAAAAAAAAGGTTCCATCTACACCAAAATATTTATAGCAACTTTTTGTAGTAGAAAAGCACAGGAAATTAATCAGATGCCCATTGATTGGGGAATAGTAGTTAACCAAAATATGTAGTATACGACTGTCACTGAATATTACTGTGCAATAAGAAACCCTGAATATGAAGATTACAGAGAAGGTTACTATCATCATACTGATTACTATCATCATATTAGATATGATCATAATAATCATAGTAACTGATGCAAAGTTAAATAAGCTGAACCAGTAAAATAATATACACAAAGACTATGACAATGGAAATGGAAATAAAAATAATAACTAAAACGGAATACTATAAAAATGGTGGTCAAGTTTGGCAATAAAGAGGTATGAATAGGGGCAGCTAGGTGGTGCAGTGGATAGAGGTCTGGCCTTGGAGACAGGAGGATCTGAGTTTAAATCCAGCCTCAGACACTTGACACTTAATAGCTGTGTAACCCTGGGCAAGTCACTTAACCCCACAGTCCACCAAAAAACAAAAATAAACAAAAAAAACAACAACAACAAAAAAAGAGATATGAGAATGCACCTCCTTCCTTTCTTTGAAGAGCTGGGGAAGTATATGTGTGGAATGCTATATATACTGTTCTGTTTTTCTCTTTTTCAATCCTTGTTATAGGAGATGGCTCTCTGAAAGGTGGTGGGGGTAGGATATATTGGGATATAAAAGGGTAGGATATAAAAATGAAAGATAAAATTTTTTTTAAAAACTACACATAAGCAACACATTACCACTGTAAAAGCTCTAAATGAAAAATAAAAAATGTCTCCCTGACTACAATAGTAATTATTTGGGGAGGGAGACAGAAGGGAACCCATAAGCATAAAAGTATGCCATTAGCATTTTTTAAAAATATAAAGATATGTCACAAAAAAAAGTATTTTATTCCCTATTTTCATCCCAGGAAATTAAAAGTTCAAGGAAAGTCCAGAAAGAAAAAAAGCAAAGCTTCAAGCATAAAGAAAAGTATTGGTCTCTTCCTCTCTCCCTCCCTGGAAATTATTCTTTCAAAATGACAGCTGTATTGTTCCACAGCTGCTTGGGGGCGAAATCACTATTTCTGTTTTGAACTAATGAGCATCTGGTATATTGCAAATAAATAAAAACTCATTAGTTTTATTTCAATTAAATCTCCCCAAGCACGAATTTGGCCTCCAACTATCTGCTTCTAGGTATCATTTGTTATTCTCTTCTGCAAACTTTGAGTTCTCTAACTCCTAGTAAGAAATAAAATAAAACTGAAAAAATCTGCAGATTTCTTAAAAAGACCTAAGGACCAGTTGGGCTTCAGAAACTTATTTTTTTAAGTTCATCAGGCAGAATCTCCTACAAAAAGAGAGTTGGATTGTGTGACTTTCCAACTCTAACATCCATCCTCTGAGTCTACAAAATAAACTTATGCCCCAAAGAAGTATCTATTAGCCAATTCTTAATTACTTAGGAACTGGTTACATGATATATAAATAATTCATACAAGGCACACTGACAAGTTATGGTGAGCCCCAAAAATAAACAAGACAAAAACAAATCCTGAAACATGAGAAATAAATGCACAGTTTTATTTTTTTATAAAAGAAAAGAAAAAGGAGAGACTTTTTCCATTAGCACAAAGACGGATAGGCAAGGGTGATTTCTCTATTGCTGAGCTTTGTTTCTGGAAGCCATGCCCAATTTGGCAGCTTCGGGGTGATTTTTGATGCTTCTTCAACACAGAGATAGTCAATGGCGTAAGCTTCTTAAAGGACACAATTGGACTAGACCCTGTAAACGACATTTCTAATCTCAAATCATCCCATCAGCCCCTTTGCTCCTCTGTCTCTCATTAAACTATCTGTATGTATAGGTACTCATTAAAACACACCTGCATTGGGATAACAGAGGACATATGCTGTCGTACACTTGCCAATGGTTTCAATGAAAGGTCTCATTTCCTCGGCACCTAAAGCACAGTTTAATCCAATGCTGGTGGAAAACAAAATAAGAGATTACAGGCCTGCATTTCACATCAGAACATCATGTCTGCCTTAAATGAAGGTCTTGTCAGGTCCCTCCACTATCCAAAAACCTTTGGTGGTACTGCACCACCCATGAAAAACAGTCTTACCTAGAATTCAAGGCCCTCTACCAACCTTCCTCCAATCTACCTTTCCAGTCTAAAATAACACTCTCGACATTTATTAAATGCTTACATATACAAAGAGATATACCATACACCAGGGAGATAAAGATGCAGATAAGACACAGCCCCTGCCCTCAAGGAGCTTAGAATCTACTAAGAGATAAAACACAAATACAGATGTTATATGACATTGTATATTATGATAAAAAGCAGTGGTGTCAAACTCAAATAAAAACAGGGCCCAATAAACCACACACAGACTTTTGTGGGAACATATTGACTCCAAAAAACCACATATTATTATGTTTTATTATATTTTAAAATTTTTATTGTTAAATACTTTCCAATTTCATTTTTATATAGTTTGGCCACATAGTAGTCCCATGTTTGACATGTCTGGTTAAGAGAATAACAAAAGAAAGCTCTATAAAGGGACCAAGAGAACCCCAATAAAATGTAAATTCCTTGAGAGCAAGATCTGTTTTATTTTTCTCTATATATTAGCAGTGAATGAAGTAGGCACCTCATAAATGCTTATTGATTGCTGGACGACAGGCATTTGAGCTGGGTTTTAATGACTAACAGGTATTCATAAGCATACAAAGACATTCCAGAAAAAGGCTGATATCAGCCCAAGCTAAGACAGCAGAGTGAGAGCACAGTACGTATTGTCTGGATGGAACAAGGAGTGTGTGCAGGGACATAAGACAAGAAAGGTAGTTCAGGAGTGCAGGGCGTGTACAGGAAATAAACCCATAAAGGTAGAGGGCCATATTGAGGAGGGTTGAATATTATTAGGATGGCAAAGGGGGAACCACTAAAGAATTTTGAGCAGAGAAGTAATATTACCAGATCTCAGAATAGGAAAGATGATTTTAACAGTGAGTGGTATAAAATATAGATAAGGGGCAATTAAACTGAAGACCAAAATGGGGGAGCCAATAAAACAGGAGGCAAGTTGGTGTCACACAGGCTACTCCAGGGGACGAATTAAAGGTACAACCCAGGGCTCCAAGCAGTATCGAGATGATGGTGTTCAGTTCACATATTTCCCCAGCTGTCCTTTGCTGCTTGACTGAGGAAGAAAGTAAGGCTCTCTTTTAGATGTCTTTCAGTTTTGTCCCAGCAAATGTAAGTTTTATCTCAGACTCCTCATTTCCATTCACATACTCCATCTTCTCATCCAATCTGGCTACTCTCTATTCCCTAATCCTGCCCTGCCCTCTCCTGGTTTCTGTGCCTTTTTCATGCACCCTCTCCCATGTCTGGAATGGCTTCTTCCCACATCTCTGTGTGTTATAAAAAAAAAAAAATCCTTTACTTCCTTCTAGGATCAGATACTTTCTCTTCTCCCTCCTCCAACCTCTCATTCCTCTGGAACTCTCCAAAGCACTCACCATATTTTAGCTTATATTATAGTTATTTATGTGCATTGTTTATCTCCCGATGGATTGCAAATTCCTTAGGGACAGACACTGGGTTTCTTATTTTATCTTTTTCCTTCAAGCTAAATATTCATCATTAGTAATAATGATGAAGAAATAGCAAAGTACAAGGAAGGAGCTAGCACCTTAATTCAAGTGATTCTTCCGTTAAAAAAGCATTGTAGTCTGGTTAAGTTGTCTTAAACTTGGAGTCAGGAAAGATCTGGGTTTGAATCTCAGCTCAGATGCTTACTATCTGTGTGACAACAAGCAACTCCCTTAATCTCTCTAAGCCTCAGTTTCTCCATCTATAAGACAGCGAGGAGTTTGCTGAATTGCTTCTTTTCTTTCTTTCTTAATTTTTCTTCCAAGATCAGCTTGATGGGGAGTGGAGGGAGGGACAGATATATTCAGAAATGAATGTGACATAACAAGGAAAGGCATGCTTTGTTTCCCTCCCATCTAGCCTCTTAGGACTTGTATTGTTTTCTACCATTAGAATGTAAGCTCTCAAAAAAAAAAAAAAAAGAATGTAAGCTCTGCAAGGGGAGGGACTGTCTTGTAATTGTATCCTCAGCTGTGCCACCACCTGGCATAGATTAATCTCTTAATAAATCTATCAATAAAGATGATTTTTTTTTTAATGGAGAGAGGCATGGTAATTTTGAGTAGGATGTAAAACATTACCAGTAAAGAATTACATAAGTGAAGCAATATAAATGACATCATCAGAGAGACGTGTGACTGGGAAAGGGGGACTAGATATGAAGCATAAACTAGGAATAACTGACAAACAGCCCAGTGCTCCAGGGATACCCACTGTATGACATCAGAACCACTAGAAGACCCCAAGGAATTGAGAAGCAGGGTAACTTGTTGTTTGTCCTTCCTTCTCAAAGAGGACCATGACATCAGGAAGGTGATGTCATGACTTGAAAGTGAACTGGATTTAAGTGAGGAGGGCCATGAAAAGTTGAGGAATTAGGAAACAATGCGGTCAAAAGTCCCATAGAATGAGAGGACACAGATGGGTTGTGATCTGCACCCTTGGCAGAAGTATCTACATCAAAGAAATCAGACACATTCGTGTTCTGAAATAAGTCTATCAGAGAGAAGCCTTCTGGGAGCATAGCGGGGAGGGGAGACAAAAATCAGAAAAGCTCAGCACAGATTTCCATGGCCCCTAAAACCACACCCAGTCACCTGCTAGAGTGAAAAAAAAGAAAAGAAAGCTGGAATAGACCCAAGAGACGACTGAAGTAAAATGGAGAAAATAATACTGCAGCATTTACACAACAAGGATTGCAAAGCTCATTACATATGTTAATCTCATTTGATTCTCACCAGAAAATTAGTAAGAAGGTAGGTGGTAAAGCCAAGAAAAGGTCACAATAAGTGACCCTTTATTTATTTACACAGTAAATATCTGAGACAGGACGCGAACTCAGGTCATCCTGGCTCCAAATTCACCCTTCTATCTACTGAGCCACTTAGTTATTGGAAAATACGGAGGTGATCCCCTCTTGCTGACCAGTCGGTCAGTCAGTCAGTCAGTCAGTCAATAAATATTTGTTAAGGACCTGCTATGTGCTAGGCACTGCACTAAGCACAGAGGATACAAAGAAAAGTAAAAGACAGTCAGTCCTGGTCCTCAAGTAGCTCACAACTTAATGGAGAAGACAACAAACAAGTATATAAAAACAAGCTTTACATCTGGTATTTAGGAAATAATAAAGAGAAGGAAGGCACTAAAATTTTAAGAAGAGTTGGTTGGGAAAATCTTCTCAAAGATGGGATTTTAGTGGCAACTTGAAGGAGCCAGAGGAGGGAGAATATTCCAGGCATGGGGGACAGCCAGAGAAAATGCCTGGAGCAGAGAGATGGGGTTGTCTTGTAGGAGGCCAGTGTCACTGGATCAAAGACTACATGGTGGGGAGTGAGGCTGGAAAGGTAGGAGGAGGCTAGGGGATGAAGGGTTCTGAACATCAAAAAGAGGATTTTATATTTGATCCTGGAACCAACAGGAAGTCACTGGAGTTTAGGGATGGGGGGGGGTCATGGACGGACCTGTGCTTTAAGAAAATCATTTTGGTGGCTGAATGGAGGACAGATTAGAATAGGAAAGAGATACAAGGCAGGCAGACCCATCAGCAGGAGATTACAATGGTCCAGGTGTGAGGTGGTAAGGGCTTGCACCAGGTGGCAGTGTCAGGAGAAAAAAACATGAGAAATACTCTGTTCCCTGGCCTAAATATGCTCTCATCAAAAAGTAGCTGGTTTACATACATTTCAATTCAATAAACAGCAAGTGTGCAAACTATCTGTTATCTGAAATGGATCTATGGGAAAGAGAGGGGGAGGGATGTTGGGGAAACTGATGATGTAAAAAACAAGACACCAATAAAAACTTAAGGCATACACTAAACGTGTAATGCACTCAGTAGGTGCTAGGAACAAAGACAAAGATGAATAACAGTCTCTTCCCTCTGAACAAAGAAAACTGAGTGAAAAAAAGACTATTCTCTCACCATAGTGGTTCTGCATGGGTCACGCTGATGACAAATGCCTCTCCCGTCTGTCCAGAAAGAGTTCGCCCACTCTTATCCACAATAGTCCCTGAAACCTGGATTTTAAAAAGCAGGGTCAAATTTAAAACTACAAATACAACATGTCATAAGCATACTCTCTGCATTTGTTTCAATAAAAGGATAAGATCCCTGAACTCAAAGAAAATACTTCTATGCTAAGGCCAGCCTTAAAATATACCATAAAAGAAGGACTGTGACCCTACTTTTCCCTCTTCCTCCACCCCAGTTTCTGTCATAAAACCTCACTGCTTTAGGGACAAAAGATTCACCATTTGTCAGACCAGAGGGAAGAGGGCCCAGACAGGACAGACACAGGTCCCATAAGATGAAGTCTTTCCATTCCCACACCTGCCCTCAATTCAAAGAGAAGAACAAAATGTATCTTCTGAGAAACAAATAAACTTTTTAACTTACAAAGATAGGCCGGCGATCATAACCCTCTTCAAAGAGTTTCTGGAGTGCAAACAAGGCTGCCTATAGGAAAACAAGATTTTTGAGCTTCACTTCAAGGTCAAATCAATCTAGTCAGTAGCAGAGAATGAGTTTCTGATTCTAAAAGCCTCAGCTCTTTTTTTTATATTACTTCCATGTGTAATGATTGCAAGTCCTCTGAAGGCAGAGATGGATCACATCTTTAACATCTCAAGTTATCCATCTTGATCAACTGTAAATGACTTAGCTATTCTCAGCAATACAATGATCCAAGACAACTCCGAAGGACTTATGATGAAAAATGCTATCTATCCCCATTAAAGAACCGATACAGTCTGAATACAGATTGAAGCATACCGTTTTTACTTTATTTTTCTTGGGTTTTTTTGTCTGTTTTCTTTTACAACATGACTAATATGGAAATATGTTTTGCATGAACACACAGGTATAACCTATATCAAGTTGTTTGCCTTCTCAATGAGGGGGGTGGGGAAGGATAGAAAGAATCTAGAACTCAAAATTTTAAAAATGAATGTTAAAAATTATTTTTCCATGTAATTGGGCAGAAATAAAATACTAAATTAAAAAAAAATAAAGTTAACCATCTTGGAGATGAGCCACATATGGGAAATGGACCAATCATAAGAAACTAATGAACATTTGAAGAACAATGTTCCACGTCCACCCATTTCCTACTAAAACAAGGTAAAAGTGAGAAAAACCTGGGAAATTGGGATGTCATCCTCTCTTGCTGTCCATAAGAAAACATAACCCTTTCTTCCCTGGGCTACATGCTGCTATCTTCAGAAAGCAGCTAGCTTACATACAGTTCAATTCAATAAACACTTTTAAAGTGCATGCTATATGTAAGGCACTGTCCTAAGCATATGGGGAGAATTCAAGAGTGCTAGGGTTCAGTTACGTTGAGTGCAAGAATTGTAATGCCACAACAGAACGTATACTCTAAGTTTCAGGGAGAAGGAGGCATAGAAGGGACGAGTGACAATACTTCACCAAAAATTCAGGGAAGCAATATTTATCAAGCATCCCTGGGTACTCTGCACGGTACTAAGTGTATAGGGATTTGTAGAGTATCAATCGGTCTCTTGTCTTCAGGGAGATACAGAAAACTGTAACTAATATGACTGCCAACATAACTACTGACAATTATAACTTTTACATATTGCAAATTTATATCATACATCTCAAGCATGACCACTGTGGATATTAAAACAAAATAAATGCTGGCTGAAATTTCACCCCCAGAAAGATCATTTCCTCTTGAAAATCTAAAAAAAAGCTCTTCTTTTTCCCCTGCCCACAGACACCTCACACACACACAAACATATCTAAAAAACAAGTCACTCTGCTTTCTATATCTCTCTATATAATACATACATAGGACTAGAGATCTAGAGCTGGAAGAAACCATCTCTGAGGCAATCTACTCTAGCCCCATCATTTTACAGATGAAGAAATTGAGGCCCAAAGGAATTAAGTGACTTACCTAGAGTGAGCTAGGTAGTAAGAATAAAAGGTAGTGTTAGAAGCCAAATGTTCTGACTTCAGAGCATGTACTCCTTTCCATAGTACCACACAGCTTCCAAAGGACAAGACTCAAAAAATTACTGTGATCTCTGAAGGCGGGAACAGGAGCATGGCATTTGGATCAAGGGAGGGAATACCTGCTCCTGCTACACTCTGAACCCACAATCTGGCCACATCTGGAGAGATCCACTTCTGGGTATGTTTTCAGGTGTTCAACCACAGAACCACAAGCTGTCTCAAAGAGTTCAGGCAGAGCCTAAGTAACCATTTATCAGATATACTACATAAAACATTCCTATATTGTACAAGAGGTTGAATCTGATGACTTCTAAGGTCCCTTCCAATGTTAAAATTTTATGATTTAAGTTCTCTTTCCACAGAACTTAGGAAGTATGTCTGCATGGAAAGATACTATGACTGGCATATACTGCAATTCAATACAAATTTCAATATGGAATAAAATGTCTCAGTCATCACATTTGTAGAACACAAGGCTTTGAAGTGCATCCTATCATCTGAGCCTTATAATAACTCTAGTGAGGTAGGCAGGGAGGGAATTATTTCCTCCTATATTTACAGGTAAGGAAATAGAGGCTCACACTCACTTGTCCAAGGTTTCATAATTAGTTTATTAAGTGACCAGGACTAGAACCTAAATGTCTTCTGACTCCTCCTAATTTAAGGCTTTTTCAAGTATATTACCTCAAGCAAAAAAAAAAATCAAATATTAATAGCAGCATTTTTTTTATGATAGTAAAAAAGAAAACCAGAAACAAAGGAGGTGGGCACGACTGGGGAATGACTGAACACACTGTGGGATATGAATGTAATAGAATTTGTCATTGTTGTTCAAGTTGTGTTTCACTATACCGTCCATGGGGTTTTCTTGGCAAAGATACTAGAGTGATTTGCCATTTCCTTCTCCAGTGGATTAAAGCAAACAGAGGCTAAGTGACTTGCCCAGGGTCACACAGCTAGGAAGTGCCTGAGGCCAGACTTGAACTCAGGTCTTCCTGACTCCAGGACCAGTGCTCTATCCACTGAGCCACCTTGCTGCCTATGTAATGGAGTATTATAGAATTAAAGAAAAAAACGGATATAAGAAATTCAAAGAATCACAGGAAAACTTCTAATGAATTGATGATACAACTTAAGCAAAACCAGGAGAAGAATAAATATAATGACTAAAATAATGAAAAAAGAAAACAACACTAAGGAGAGGCCAAATTCTAATTTCAAGGACCATTCTTGGTCCCAAAAAACAGATAATGAAGCATGGATTTGGTGCCAAAGAACTTGGGTTCAAATTCTATCTCTATCGCTATATGTGTGACTTTGAACAAAGGGGGTTGGCCTATAGAGCAGCTACAAACCTAGGCTTCCGTGACCCTCCTCTCCTTCAGAAGAGAGGTGAGGGATCAGGGACAAAGCGTACAATACGTACTGTACACTACCTCCACAATCTACTCAGAGTGTACCCTGTGCACTGAGTCAAACTCGGTCTCTGGAGGTCAGAGTTCCGTTTCATCTTCAAATCCAGTGACTGGGTCACAGATACTTAGAAAGTGTTGTTATTCATCTTAGAAATGATTATTCATCTTCCTTAGCTTTTTTTGGTTGTTGTTGTTGAAAGGGATGGTCAAAGAAGAAAATTGAGGTGTATATACAGAAATGAAATAAGTGTAAAAAAGATATCAATAAAACTTTTTAAAACTTAATTCTGGAGGTTTTCAATATTTCCTCAAAATCTTTACTCTTATCTGTCTTAACAGCTCCAGTATATTAATGTACCAAAATGTGTTTAAACATTCCCCAATTATTGGACATTTTAGTTGCTTCCAATTATCTAAAGTTACAAACAATACTTTTGTGAATATCTTTGTAGAGTTAGGATTTTTTTTTGGCTTTTTGGTGAGCAGTTGGGGTTAAGTGACTTGTCGAGGGTCACACAGCTAATAAGTGTCAAGTTTCTAAGGCCACATTTGAACTCAGGTCCTCCTGACTTCAAGGCTAGAGCTCTATCTACTGTGCCACCTAGCTTCCCCCAAGGGTTTTTTTTTTAATATATTACTCTCATGGTATATGTTCAACAATAGATGTGGATGTAACTATGACTACATTCTGACTGGATCCATGATTTCATCAGCTGAGGAAGCTCCCCATGAAAAAATTCCCCTATGAATGTAGACTGGCACCTTATTTGTATCTTATAGTCTTAAGAGAGCTCCTTCAGAGACCTGCCCAAGAGCATACGGCTACCATGTGTCAGAGACAGACCTTGAACCCATCCTCCAAAACCAAGGCTGGCTCTCAATCCATTGTGCCACACTGCCTCTCAAGCATGAATACATAAGAGGAAAGTGAATAAGAATGAATGGACCAGAGAAAACTGATGGAAACAGAAAGCAAATGAAAAATTGTTATGACACTTTATGTAATAAATTTCATTTATTTCAATGTAAAAAGTGGCAAAGCAAGTTTAATTGATGATAATGAAGTTCAATATTGTTCATAATAAATCTTTTTTAAAAATTAGCTGGTTTTTTTGAAAAGGTGTGACAGCTATAAGAAAACATAATATATCAATGTCAACTTTCAAAGTTGACCAAACAAGGAATGATTATTCACTTTACAAAAGGACTGAGTGCTTTATAAAAACCATTCCTTTAAATACCATGATCCTCCAATACATTTGTTGTTAGTAGCTATCTCCTTGACCAAAAGAAATGAATGTAATGCAACTAAAATGATAACTAAGTCAATAAGAAGATAAATAGGAAGCTAATTATAAATAAAAGAAAAAAGAAAAAAGAAAAAGAAAGGACTTTCCACAAAGAAGTAACCTAGTAATACATCTCTTTCAGAAAACGGGAGATAAACTTGAATTGAAAGCTATTAGACCCCTTTAATGAAAAAAGCTGCATCACTTTGATAGATCTGAGATTTCCATGTGATGGGTTCACCTCCACTAGTTTAACCCATGTTTTATCATGTTTATACTCTAAAATTTAAGGAGAAATTGTTTTTGGGGAAATTTGTTTTCTGGTCTCTATTACATATTCATGATAATAACATTTTACATATTTATTACATATTTATGATAATAACAATTTACAGAGGATGAAAACAAGGATGGTGCTTAACTCAATAAGCGGTATGAGTGCCTTCTTACTAAATTGAGAGGGTCTTTTCTCCTTCCTGCAACCAAATTTTCCTCCCTAAACTCACCTTAGCATTGGCAGTATCAAAAATAGTTTCTACCAATAAGATGTCAACTCCACCATCTAGAAGTCCTCTGGCTTGTTCGTGGTAAGCTTCAACTAGTTCATCAAAGGCTGAAAAACAGAAACCAAACAAGGCACATCAGTCATCAAATATTTACTGAACACCCACCACGTGGAGAGTCCTGAGTCTATCCCAGGGGAAAAAAAAAAAAAAACCTTCAGCATGAGTGAACCATGTATTTAAATTGCAGAGTTCAAGGGCATCACTACTCTTTGCAAGTCATAGGTATAAGATGGTGCAGAGACTTGTGATCCACCTGTGCAAACACAGAAAAACAAATATAAGGTCGCCTGCATAATCATTAGATGTGCAGGAGAGAATGACTAGCATTTGGGGCTTGCTCTTTCTGGCTATAAAATAGATTTTCTGCTTCATGTAAGAGATGGTTTTTAATAAATCAAGTAAGACCTGAGTACATAGGTAAAGCATAAGTACAATAGAAGTCTGCCAAATGGATTTACAGATAATATTGGTTGATGTGTCTTCTCAAACTTAACAGCTACATGCAATGAAAGCTCCATATGCCACAGAGAAACATAAAACAAGTAATATCACAAGGATACTGTTTGATCCCTTTAATCAGAATTATAAAGGGGGTCCCCTATATGATACAATATCACCAAGACGTTAGCTTGATCCCTTATCATCAGAATTATAAAGAGGGGGCTTCCCTATATGTTAAGGCACTGAGACCAAACTTAAAATGTTCAGTCACTTCAGCCCTGAGTCTGATTTCCTAGAAATTTCCTGTAAAATTGGAAAGAGCCTAATGTAACAGAAACCCCAAAAAACTGGGCCTGAGAAGAACTGGGTTTAAATCTTGACTCTGACCCTGACCATGTGACTTAAGTAAGCCATTTAACGCCTCTTAGCCTCAGCTTCCTTGTACCTAACAGGATTACTGTAAGGAAAGCACTTTGTAAATATGAGCAAATTAATGATATTAATAAGTGGAGCTGTAGGAGATCAAGAGTCCAAACATTTCTTTTGTCTTATTTGCTACATCCAAAGATTCTCCTTTTGCTCTTCATTGTGACAAGATAAGTGTTTATTAAAACAAATCAATGATGAATGAATTCTATCAGCCAGATCCTAGGTGGTGCAATGGACAGCGCACTAGACCTACAGCTGGGAAGACTCATCTTCCTGAGTTCAAATCTGGCCTCAGACACTTATCAGCTGTGTGACCCTGGACAAATCACTTAACCCTGTTTGCCTCAGATTCCTCATCTGTAAAATGAGCTAGAGGAGGAAATGGTAAACCACGCCAGTACCTTTGCCAAGAAAACCCCAAATGTGGTCATGAAGAGTCAGACACAACTAAACAACTAACCAACAACAAAGATTTAGGCCTCCAAGTCTTTTTCCTAAGCTGGTTCTGTTGCAACCACATTTTTTCCCAAGATGGCCTAGTAACAGGTAATCTCCTATATCACATCATTCTGGGAAATACCAAGTGCCTTCATCTCACCACTCCAATTCTGGTGAAGGAGCTACCTGGTGATCCCAGTCTTAGTTTGGATGGGTTTTTTTTTTTTGGTTTGTTAGTTTGTCTGGTTGGTTGGTTGGTTTTCTGGAGACAAGGCCTCTCTACCTTGCCCAGTCTGAAGTATGGCAGCCACTCATTGGTCCAATTCCACAAGTGAGAGGCCCAGGAGCTTTGATCTGCTCCATTTCTGACCTGAGCCATCTTGTCCCCTCCTCAGGCAGCCCAGTAGTCCCCCTACTGACATAGGCTTACCATATCAGTGCCACATTTAAAGTAAATACCCTATCAGCTTAGCCCTTATGAAGCTTAGGACACCTGAATTCAAGAGAAATGCCAACCTCAGTCCTCCTCACAGCAGGAATTTACAGGTGCCTGCCACCATGTCGAGTTGGATATTATAATAAATAGAGAAAGGAACTGGGGAAATACAAATCCTAAGTCCTGACCCTGTCTCCTACCCACCTCCTCCAGTACTCAGCCCCAAAATGCAAAGAAATTTTCTCAAGTTCTAATCCACAAACCAAAAATGAAGAGGGACATATCTGCTGCCCTGTTCAAAAACAAACTGTTACACTTCCCTTTACTGTCTATCTCACTTTCTTTTAAAAACAGTAAGAACATGAATGTTCTTTTACATCCTCTAGAATAATAAGAATGTTCTTTTGCATCCCCTACCTTTGGATGGCCCCTCAAACAACCATTAATTTTAGCCTGTTCAAATTCTCTACACTTTTAAAAATTGCCTTTGCTCATCTGGAAAAATGACTCAAGTTGGATTTAAGATCCCTACATGCTGACACCTCTACGAATAAATCACTTAACTGCCAAAAGAGAAAAGCTAGGTAAAACCCGAGGTGTGCTGGCAGACTGCTGGGGGAGATTCTGCAATGCCTACATGTCCTCACCATGTAACCTGCTCTAGTCATCTCCCTTCCTCAGGAAGCCCTGTAAATCTTAATCAAATGCATGAAAAATGAATTTACCCAAAACAGAGAGCTATTAACTCTTCAATCAACCTCAAAATCAACTTGAGTGAGTAAGACAAGAATTGATTCAAAGAAACCAAGTCTTTCACAGGGTCAAAAAAAATCAACCTTACAGGTACAAGATGGGGGAAGCATCTTGCTAGACAGTGATGTGTCTGAAGAGGATCTCAGGGTTTTATAGCATGCAAGCTCAATTAATCTAAGGGAAGAGTGGGCAATAGACAAATAGTTTTAATAACACTCTCCCCAATACCGATAATAAACTTCCTTAGGTTATAGAAGCCTCATCACTATGGCAGAGGCACCCACACACAGTTCAGTGACAAGTTTGTTTGGCTGGGAAAGTCTTTGGGTGGCAGACAGCCTTTAAACCCACAGTTTGAGTCTTACCAACTCAAAATCAATAATTCTATTTGTGGATTATTTTTGTTCTTTGCTTGTTCCTCTGTCATTTTCCCTGCCTTTATAGAAAGGTAGGCAAAAAAACAGAGAATACAGCCTGCTTTAAAGGTGATTTTCCTTCCTATTAGCAACTATAGGCATAAAGGTTTGGAGAAGGAGAGACTAGCTTAATTAAGATTTCAACATCATCCATATATGTTTTAAAGTAAAATATCTCTACTCCCTTGGGTGACCCAGAGTTTATAATTAAATCCTCTTTTATCAGACAATTATAAAGGTCTTGCAAAATTCAATTCTAACAAAGAAATCCAAAAAGTGACCTAGTTAAAAAGCAGGCTTCATTTATTAAAAAACTGCCAGGACAAAAGTAGGACGAAGTGAAGGGTCAGTCCTATATTAGGAGCCAGAAACCCTTTATAATTGTTTGTATTTATGTAACACCTTAAGGTTTATAAATGGGCAGCTAGGTGGCACAGTAGAGAGAATGTCAGGCCTGAAGTCAGGAAGACTTATCTTCCTTCCTGAGTTCAAATCTGGCTTCAGACACTGTGGAGCTGTGTGACCCCAGGCAAGTCACTTTACCCTGTGTGCCTCTGTTTCCTCATCTGTAAATTGAGTTGAAGAAGGAAATGACAAACCATTGCACTATCTTTGCCAAGAAAATCCCAAATGGGTTCACAAAGAGTAAGACACAACTAAAACAACTCAACAAGATTTATAAATACATATTATATCTTTTAATGTGCACCACTATAAAGTTTAAAAAAAGTTATTATATCCATTTTATGGATAAGAAAACTGAGACTTGAGAGAGGTTAAGTGGCCTGCCCAGGATTACTTAGCCATATGGAAGAGCTAACAAATCTTTAACTGCTACAATGCTTTCTATACTTATTTGGCCCATGTAGTTCTATACTTCTTCATAATTATGCATATAAGGATATACTGTTGCTTCTTAGAACACTGTTAATATTAGCAATATCCTTCCTCACTCTAGAGAATGTAAGTAAATTAAGACTGTTTGCTATGGACATGAATGTGCCCATTTATATATAAGTAAGGGAAGGTGTCATAGGAGATAAAGAGCCAGCCTTGGAGTCAAAAAGATCTGGGTTCAAGTCTCACCTCTGACACATATCGGCTGGGGGACCCTGCACAAATCACTAAACCTCTCAGCGCTCAAGGGAATCGTCTAAGATTAAAAAGACGCAGAAAAAGAGATGTCATGCTTTGGTAAAGAGAGCTCCCTCATCTGGGAGTTCCCTTTACCAATGAAATCACAGATCTAGTGCCTATCCACTATACATAATAGTAAAATCTTTCTCCTTTGTTAGAATCATGTACATGGAAATTTTATTTTTCCTCCTTCATAAAATCAAAGTTAGCATTTCAAAAGTAGAATCCCAATGGAAAAACCCCTAAGCACCTCTGTAAAGGCTTTTGACTCCTCCTCCACCAGGGAACAATCCAAGGACATTCTCCAGGCACCTGCCAGATAATTGGCATGTATCCTGTAAGTGTTAATTACTCCTCACTTTCTTGCTTTCATTCTTAAAACCAACTTTGGTCTCTCCTTTTCCCCCAAATATCTTCATAGATAAAGGTCCCAGATGGCCTCACTGTACCTAGCATCATGGACAAGATTCTCTACACATCCCTCTTTTTAGTTAACACTGGGTAATTTTCATCATTATCATTCTTTCAACCAATTACTGTGCTCAAAGATCCAAAAGTGTAGCTCTGGACCTGCTGGGTAGCAGATTGGACACGCTATGCTCTACCAATCACCATCCTGGAACTCCCCAAAAAAGGAGGAGGCATATCTTAGAAGCATCAGAGATGGGATCTTTCCTATATAACAAGGGAAAGGTGGAAAACCATCTTTGGAGCTACCACAACACAAACCCCATCTGCACATAGATTGGGAGTTCCAAAGTACCCGAACTCCTGCCTCCAGTCTGCTACAAAGAAAATCTTTTAATAAATCTACTTTGGCATGTAATCTTGTTCATGGGTTTCCTTTTCCCTTCCCTAGTGTAGACACTTAGGTTACTAAGTCACTCATTTTGAAGGCATTTGCCAAAAAAGGACTTGAAATGGGTAGGATAAATTTAACAAGTCTCTTCCTTCTTAAATTCCTCAAACTCAAGGAGCTCGCATTATAAATCCTGCAGTCAGTGGCTCTAATTTAAGCTAATAAGCATCAGACCTGGGACTATACTTAGGTCCTCTGACCCTAGGTCCAGTTCCTTATTTACCCTTAAAAATGATACGATGGCCTAATAGGTCCTAAACTAGCTGTTTTGTTGTTGTTCAGTCATTTCAGTCGTGTCCAAATCTTTGTGACCCTATTTGGGATTTTCTTGGCAAAGATACTGGAGTGGTTTGTCATTTCCTTCTCCAGTTCATTTGACAGATAAGGAAACAGAAGCAAACAGGGTTAAGTGACCTGCAGGGTCACACAGCTAGTTAAGTGTCTGAGGCCAGATTTTATTTCAGGAAATGGAGTCTTCCTGACTCCAGGCCCAACTCTCTATCCACTGCACCAACTAACTGACCATAGCTAACATTTATTAAGCCCAAAAGGAAAGACACCTCGACTCTCACTTCTTTGCAAATGTTTAAGAATATGGGTGTGGAGCACTACATATAATGTCATAGTTTTGCTGAACTGTTGCTTTTTCCTCTGTTTTATTCTTTTTCATAAAGGATGACTCTCTGGGAGGGAGAGAGAAGAGTAATACACTGGGAAATAAAAGTGATTTAAAAGTAAAAGTCATCATCAAAAATGTACTTTTAAAAAGCATTAAGCCTTATAATACATGGTACCTAGACGGACAGAGCAAACAAAAGGCATAGTCCTAGTCCTCAAGAATCTTAAGCTTTCATGGGACAAATAATACACACACTTATACACATAAAAGACATCAGAACGCAAGTAGCTAACTCCAACCACCCAAAGCAGCTTCCTTCCCCTTTTTCTATCTCACATTAGTTGTAACAACTGGAAAGATGTCAATTTCTTCAGGGCAAAGGGAGAATGGAACTACAAAGATAAATAATGTGCCAAATGAACAGACTAAGATCCAATTACTATCCCAAGACTGGCCTCAGACAATGAGAAAACTAAAACTAACGGGGGTACGGAGAAGGTGGCAAAGAACACACGAAAGAATTATACTCTACTCCTTTGGAAATGGGCCTAAAGATGTTCTTGGAATTAAAAAAGTGAGGACAATTGTATCTATCATTTTGGGCTAGCATAATCCAGACAGAGACAAGAAGAAAAAGGGCACAAAAAGAGAAAGAAAATAAGTCTCACTTTGGGGGGCTTTGAAAGGTTCTGTAGCCTTCAGAGAGAGGTAATCACAACATCAGCACAATCCAAAAAGCAAGCTAAAGCAGAAAAAAAAAAATACTCACTAACGTTTCTGTAATCCGGTCTTTCCACAGAGGGGGACACAGAGAGGGTCTTATTGGTGGGACCTATGGACCCTGCTACAAACCTCTTAATCCCTTTGAAAACAGAAAAAAAGAAAAAGATGAATTTTCAAGTTGTTCAATCACTGTATGGAATCGCAATCGCCTGGCTACAAGTTAATAAAACTTCACACCAGTCAGAATAACCTATGCCATCACCACTGCAGGGTTATTGTCTGGTCATCATATAATCTTAAAGAATCCTTGTTGACTTTAAACTAAATAGTATTTTTTTTAAATTTTTATTTATTTTATTTTTAACTTATGGGATAAAACAAGCATTTCCATAACTTTTAATGTAATAAAAATAATACTTTCATCTAATCAATCAACATTTAAGCATTTAGTATGTGCCAGATATTTGAAATCCTTCCTCATCTTCAATCAATCAATCAACACTGATTAAACACCTACTATGTGTCGGACACTGTGCTAAGTACAGAGGATGCAAAAGGAAGCAAAAGACAGTCCCTGCCCCCAAGGAGCTTACAAACAAATGGTGAGTACATCTAATAATCATCTTTGAATAACAATCATCTCAGAAACTTACAAAACTAGGAAATCAGGAATCAATGAATGAAAAAGGATTTAACACATTCACATTTGTTTGAATAATCCTTTAATTTGAAGGCATCCTTTGATTTTTCTGTGTGCAACATATTCTCTGACAGCTTTTGGATATTTAGAGCATAAGAATCATTTTAGTTCATTTCCCCCTAAACAGAAGTCAAAAGTATCACATAATTTATCACTTTTTATTGATCTTAACCATTCATTAACCTGAGGCTCCAGACTCTGAGTCACAATACAACTAGAAAAGCTGGGTGAATATAGCTATTTAATAAGCCACAGATTTTTGACATTTTTGGAAAAAAAAAACAACAAAACAATAAAACCTGTGTTGCCTTTATCTTTTCTAAAGTTGAACTACACAACGCATACAAAGGAGGGAAAAAAATCTCATTTCCCTCTCCTACAGCTGGACCAACATCCTGAAGACCTGTGCGTGTTTGGGCAACCTGCTATATGTTACCATGAACTTTGAAACAGAGTTCCCCCATAAATTGCCTTGGCTTTCATTAGTATGCTATGCATATAAACACCTGACATTCCTCCTTCAAAAGCTCTCTTATGGTGGCAATATAACAAATCTGGAGGCTCCACCTGGCATCCAATCCCCCCACCCCTACTTCAAGCTGCTACCTAAATGCGTTAGTGGCGGGCAGGGGGCTGCTTAGAGACACATCTTCCTGAGTCCTAGCACTGCAGTATCTGATTACACGTCTCCATGCAGTGCAGAGCATTCAAGGACATCGAGCTACACAATGTGAAGGATATCCAAATCAAAGCCTCTCTTTATCCAGCCAAGCAAATCACTTTGCAGGGAGGGAGAGGGAGGAAGGAGGAGGGAGAGAAGGAAGGATAACACCAGAAAACTGCCAAATAAAACATTCTAATGGTAATCTAAATGGGAAGCTGCCATTTCATCAGTCTGATAATGCCCTTCCAGAAAAGAGGAGGAAAAAAAGCCACTCAGTCCTAAATACATACGGAAGCCAAGGCCCTCATTACAGAGTTAACATGTAATAGGACTGCAGATGCCAGGTCAAAGTGTCACACAGTTAAAATGAATAGAAGATAACCAGCTTACAGTCTAGTAAGGAGAAGAAAGACAAACGGTCCTCCTAGGAGCAAAGGGGGGAGAAGGGGTGGAGAGACAGAGAATGAGAAAGAGTCCCTTACCTGTTTGGGAAGTCACATCATCTGCTGCCTTTCTAGCCACTTCTGCAGAACATTTGTTCAGTCGATAAGCCTTAAAAAGAAATGGCAAATATTATTCTTCCCTGCATTTCTCCCCCGCAGAAAAGAAAAGAGGCAAATGAAGGGATTATCACAGCAACATACTGTATTAATGCTAACTCTCAAATAATACAGTACCGTCCTCAATAAAGGGTCAAAGTACTTTCTATAAGAAGCTTTCCCCAACCCCTCATAATTCCATTGCCTTCCCTTTGTTAATTATTTCCTATCTTGTATTTAGCATGCTTTATAGATATTTGTTTGCATGTTGTCTCCCCCATGAGACTGTAAGCACCTTGAGGGCAGGGACTGTCTTTCGCCTCTTTGTTTTGCCAGAACAGTGCCTGGCATATAGCAGATATATAATAAATGTTTGATTGATGAATAAACTGCTCTGGAAAGGACTGCATACTATTAATAACTATATGAAAGAATATTCCAATTTACTAATAAGAGAAACATAAATCAAAATAGCTCTTACATTTTACCCAGGAACCAGCAGACTGGCAAAGATGACAAAAAATGAAACTAGTCCATGTTGGAAGGGTCGTGAAAAGATGAGCACACTAACACATTATTAATAAAACTATGAATTGGTCCAACCAGTATGGAAAGCAGTTTGGAATTATGCAAGAAGTATCCAAAATGTTTTATGGACAGCTAGGAGCACAACGGATAGAGTGCTGAGCCTGGGGTCAGGAAGACTCAAATTCAAATCTAGTCTCAAATACTAGCTGTGTGACCCTGGACAAGTTGCTTAACTCTGTTTGCCTCAGTTTCCTTATCTGTCAAATGAGCTGGAGAAGGAAATGGCAAACTACTCCAGTATCTTTGCCAAGAAAACCCAAAATGGGGTCACAAAGAGTCGGACATGACTGAAAAATGACTGAACACCACTAAGGTCTATATTGTGGTTAGATCATATCTGCTGTAGTATGTCCAGTTCTAGGAACCACATTTTAAGAAGGAAAGTGATAAGCTAGAGAGAATTCAGAGGAAGGTAACCAAGATGGTGAAAGGCTTTTCATTCATAACCTATGAGAATTTATTAAAGAACTGGGCACATTAGCTTGGAGTAAAGAGGTCTCACTTCAAACTACAAAACAAAGCAGTAATCATCAAAACTACTTGGTACTAGTTAAAGAACAGGGAAATCAATCAGTGAAACAGACAGATATATAACACACAGACTAACTACATAACTAGGTATAGACTAGATACAAACTAGGGAAATAACATACACAGTTTTCAATAAACACAAAAGACCCTTAACTACTAACACAAGTACATGTTATTCAACAAAAACTTCTGAGAAAACTAGAAAGAAGTTTGGCAAAAATTGGGCTTAGACCAACTTTCACACAATATACTAAGATAAGTTCTAGGAGCAACTAGATGGTGCAGTGGATAGAGCACTAGCCCTGGAGTCCGGAGGACCTGAGTTCAAATCCAACCTCAGACACTTACTAGCTGTGTGACCCCGCGCAAATCACTCAACCCAGACTGACTCAAAAAAAAAAAAAAGATAAGTTCTAAACAGACACACGATTTAGATATAAAAAGTCACAAACGAAGGTCTTAAAAAAATCAGAGGAATGAGGAAATATCTACGAATAAAGCAATTATTTCTCTCCAGTTAACTGTTATTCTTCTAATTTTAACTTCATTAGTTTCATTTATGCAAAAAACTTTCAAATTTTATGCAATCAAAAATGTCTTTTAACTTCTAAGAATCTCTCTATCCCTTCTTTGATCATTAACTCTTCCCATATCCATAAATGCAATAGATATTATTTCCTTCCTTGCTCTTCTAATTTGGTGGGGAAATAAATAGGTACAGTCATTCTAGAAAGTAATTTGGAACCATTCCCCAAAAGTTACTAATTTTTAAAAAAAGAAAAGACGTTTCAGGAGGAGACACGATATCTGTGTTCAAGTATTTGAAGAAGCATCATGTAGAAGAGAAATTGAATGTAATCTGATCTTCCACAAGGGGCAGAAATGGGTACAATGGATAGAAGTTGCAGAAATGCAAATTTAGGCTTGATGTAAGGAAAAACTTCTCCAACGAGCAGGTTATCCAGAAGTGCCATTTGGAATTTAAAGATTCTTTCTCATTGGAATTCGTTAAGGGGCAGCTAGGTGGCACAGTGCATAAGAGCTCTGGCCTTGGAGTCAGGAGGACCTGAGTTCAAATCTGGCCTCAGACACTTGACACTTCCTAGCTACGTGACCCCGGGCAAGTCACTTAACCCCGATTGCCTCAACAAAAAAAAAAGAAAAAGAAAAAGAAAAGGAAGTCTTTAAGCAAAGGCTGAATGACCATATATGGAGTATGTTGAAATAAGGCTAACTTCGGGGTACACTGCCTTGGAATAGATGTTTGCTGAGATCCCTTCCCACTCTGAAAAATTCTGTAATTCTGTGAGTTAGCTGATAAAAAAAACTTTCTTTTAAAAGAAACTCCCTGCTCTAAGTTTTCTCTTTATCTGTTACAGTCAAGGAATGGGGTGTACCCTGGTTAATAGAGAGTTGACGTTTAGGCTACCAGGAAGAAATGTGCCTGGGCTGGAATCTAGTAACCTGAATTCTAGCCATAGCTCTGCCATTCACTAACTGTGTGACTTTAGTCAAGTCACTTGCCTTCCCTGGGACTCAGTTTTTCCTGTCAGGTTGAGAAATAGACTACATAATCTCTAAATTTCCTCCTAGCTCGAACATTCTGTGATCTGGTCCGTGGGATATTTGGACTACCAAACATATTTTAGGTAAGGCTTAAACTGGATGACATCTAAAACCTAAAGCAAAGATTCAATAGAACTGATATTCTAATTCTTTTAAAATTATAGGACCATAAAATGGACTAACAAAATTATGCTGAACATAATTTAAACATGTAATGATCCAGAAAGAGCTTTATAATTCTGGAATGTCTCACTGTCATCATCTTAAGCATTAATTATCACCGTACAAGCAAAATGCTTCTTTTCCAGAGATTTTCAGCAAACAGAATGTCAGATAAACCAGCTTTTAGCATGCATTTCATTTTTAACTCTATAAACAAGGCAGGCATATGGGGGTCTTTTAAAACATCTCTATTCCAGGGGAGAAATAAGGAATGCCAAAGCATTCTTGTCTCTGCTTTCAGTTGGTAACACAAATTTTCTAGGAGAAAGAAAGCATTAAGGTATGCACCACACATTAACACCACACCATCTTGTAAAACTGGAAGCACTGAAGCACTAAGTTGCTTAAAAGAAATCATGTCAGCCTCCAGATACTAAAGATAGCTCACAAAAACCCAGCACACACAGTGCCTATCACATAATAAGCATCCCTTTCATCTTATGATCACTTGCCCATAAAGTAAGCCCATTGAAAATTAACGGGTACAGAGCAAAGTAATTAGCACCAAGAGAACAATACATCCCATGACCACAAGAATACAGAGGAAAACAACCCAAAAAGAAATCAGAACTCAGCTTTACACAATGACCTGTCCTGACTCCAAAGTGCTGATGCAGCATACCTTCTTCCTCTAAGCAGAGAGGTAAGAAACTACAGGTTTGGAACAAAGGGTATATTATAAGCCATGATCACATGTTGTTTGTTTTGCTTTAAGATACTTCTTTGTTACAAGAGGAGATGGAGTTACTAGGCAGTGAGGCTACTATTTTAACATCACTTTTTGAAGTACCACAGAACTGGGAACAAAGCATCTGCCCATCATTTAGGGGAATGCCTAAACAAAATTTGATTATATGAATGGAATAGAATATTACTGCCCTATGTAACAAATGATGATGATAAAGAATACAGAGAAGTATGGGAAGAAGTCTACAAACTGATGCAAACTGAAGTAATCAAAACTAGGAAAACAACATACACAATGACTATAACGATATAAAACAGAAAAAACAAAAACAAAACTCATGACACTGAACATTGTGGAATTGTAACGGTCAAGCTTGAACATGGCAAAGGAGAAAATGTACCTACCCCCCCCCATTCAGAGGTGAAAGATTATGTGTGTGGAATACTAGATACATTGTCAGACTCAGTTGATTTGTTGGTTAGTTTTGCTAAACTGTTTTTCCACCTTTCTCTCATTCTTCGTTACAAGGGATGACACTGAGGAGAGGCAAGAAAAGATGGAAGAGCAACAAGAAAAAATATGGCCAAACTCCTCCTAACCTCCCCAGTGCTTCCAAACATACCTAAAAGAAATGCACCAGACAGAGTCCTAGTCATGAAATCCAAGGGGAAAAAAATGACAGGGAATCATTTTCCAGCCCAGTTGGCACAGGGAGACAGAGACAGAGGTCTGCAGGCACTAAAGACAGGATCTAACCAGAAACAGCTGCATGGAGCACTCAACTCAGGAAACAAAGAGTTCCAAATCCAGCAACAAGGGGTCCACCGTGGAGAGGGTACAGGAATAAATACCAACGAGCAGCTCTGTTGCTCACTACACAGTTCCCAGTCTTAACTTCAGGGTTGACTGAAAAGGCAATTTGGGACTGTGGTGACTTTCCAGGATGAAGCAGAGTCTTGGACCCTAGGATGTGTACCAAACAGTTCAGAAATAAGCAACAGTCGTTTGGATCTGACACAGAAACAGAGCAGGGTCCCAGTTCCAGGCTCCAACACAGTTTGAAATATACAGGGGAATAACCAGGGCAGGAAATCTGGAACTAAAGGTGAAAGTTTTGTCACCCTTCACCTGTAGAGCTGTCAAGTGGGCTAATGGTAACTGAATCTAGCAGGAGCTCGCTAGAACTCCAAACAGGGCAAGCCCATAGATGAATTGCTCAGACACAAATCCAGTCAATACCCCAGGAAACAGTAGCAAGACCAGTCCAGAAATTCCCTCCACAAGTACACAGAGCCCAGCCCTAACATCAAGTACAAAAAGTCAGGAAGTATGCTGGAAGAATGAGCAAAAAAAAAAGATTATCACAATAAAAAACCAGTATCATGACAGGGACACTCAAGACAGAAACTCAAAAGGAGACAATGACTCTAAAATATCTAAAAGCAATGCCTCAAAAAAAAACATCTTTGGGTTAACTAGAATTCCTCGAAGAGACAAAGCAAGAGTTTTAAAATGTCTGTAAATAAAATGAGAAAGCTAGAATAAAAAAACTGGAAAAGAAATGAGAGCTACAGAGAAAGGAACTGGTAAGGAAATTAGCAGCTTGTCACAAGAAGTACAAAACCTTAACCAAGCAACAAACTTCCTGAAAACTAGAATGGACCAAACAGAAGATAATAACCCCATGAAACCAGAAAAAATGTTAAAACAAAATCAAAAGAAAAAAAATGTAAGGTATCTCATAGCAAAAATAGCTAACCTGGAAAACAGACTGAAGGGACAGAACTTAACAATCATTGGACTACCTGAAAGCCATGGCCAAAAATAAAGAGCCTAAATCTCATATTTCAAGAAATCTTAAAAGAAAACTGCTCAGATTTCTTAGAAACAGTGGGCAAAGTATAAATAGAAAGAATCTACTTGTCATCTCTTGAAATGAAAACTTACAGGAACATGCCAGTCAAAATCCAGAGGTTCTTAATCAAAGAAAAAGAGTACAAACAGTCAAAAAAGAAAGAATTCAAGTAACAAGAAATCACAGGCAGGATCACACACAACTTAGCTGTCACCATTATAAAGTAACAAAAAACTTGGAATGCAATATTCCAAAAGGCAAAAGGATGGGGGCTTGCAACCAAGAATAACAACCAGCAAAACTGGGTAAAATAAAGCAACTTGACAATAATTAAAAAGTTAACGTTACAAAATAATGTAATAGAGTATAATATCAACTAGAAATAATGGTTAGAGTAGTAGCGAGGCTAATAAGAGAAGTCTTCCTGGAAAAGCTGTCTGACCTACGGCAGACATCTGGACAACACAGAATTTGCACATGAATCTTTCAGGACTATCATCTGCAATAACACATAGACGAGACAATCTTTACCCTTGAGTTACTACTTAGACAAACGCTAAAGGTACAAAAAAGGACCTTTAAACCAACAGACAACTTGAAGCATTTCTGACGAAAAGACCAGAGCCACATCGAAACTTTGAATTGTAATCATAGGAGTCAACAAATACAAAAAGCTAAATACATGCATACAATCAGAAGGGACTTAAAAAAAGGATAAAATGTTTATATCCTAATACTGGAAGATGATATATGTGTCCCCTCAGAACTCTATCACCACCAGGGGTCACAGAGGGACTCTAATTAAATAGAGGGCCTGGGAGCAGCTCTGTTATGTTTTGATGATCTCAAAAGAACGGAAAAGGAGGTAAAGAGGAATACTGTACATTAGCGGGAGGGAAGGGAGAGGAAGAATGGGGAAAATTATCCCACATAATCAAGTGCACATATCTAAGTCCACACAAAGGTAAGGGGGAAGTGGGGGAAACAGTAGATACCTGAACCTCACTATCATGTGAACTAATCAGAAGAGAAAAATACACACACACACACAAACACACACACACACAGAAAGGCTTTTCATTCAATAGGGAAAGAGGTGAGAAAGGGGGAAAAGGACGGAGAGGTAAAAGAGGAAGGGTAGGTTAAGGGAGGGAATAAATCTAAGCAAAACAAACTCTTAGGATGTACAAAAACATTTCTAGCTATTCTGTTCGTGGTGACAAAGAATTAGAAAAGTGAGGGAGTGCCCATCAATTGGGGAATGGCCCAACAATTTCTGATAGATGTATAAGATGGAATACTATTGTGCTATAAGAAATGATGAAGTATGGGGCAGCTAGGTGGTGCAGTGGATAGAGCTCTGGCCTTGGAGTCAGGAGGACGTGAGGTCAAATGTGACCTCAGACACTTACTAGCTGTGTGACCTTGGGCAAGTCACTTAACCCCAACTGCCTTGCCAAAAAAAAAAAAAAAGAAAAGAAAAGAAATGATGAAGTACCTAATTTCAGAGAAACCTGGGAAGACTTGTAGGAACTAATGAATAATGAATTAAGCAGAACCGAGAGAATAATGTATACAATGACAATATTGTAAACATAATTTTGAAAGATTTAGTAACTCTAAGACTTTGAATGACAGTAACCAATCCTGATCTCACTCACAATGAAACACATGCACCTCCTGGTAAAAATGTGACGGATTCAGAGTGCAGAATAAGACATATTTTTTTGACATGGCTAATATGAGAATTTGTTTTGCTTGACTCTGCATGTTTGTGATAGGGCCTTTGTTTTTTCCTTCTTTCACAATGAAGGGGGAAGATGGGAAGGAGATAAGGTAGATTTCTGTTCATTAAAAAAAAGAAAAATTTAATGAAAAAAATTTAAACAATGGTTTTCTGGGAAGCAGACAGGGAGACATATTTGGACATTAAAATGATATAAAAGAGATGTATTTGGAAATCAAGGTGATATAAAAGCAAAAGATAAGATTTTTAAAAAATTTAATGTAGCAATAAACCTTAAAAAAAAAAAAAAGAAAATGAGTGAGTTGCCATGTACCAAAGCAAAAGAGATACAATTACTACAGTACCATAACTTGGTAAGTTTCTCAGCTAAGAAGTAACATAAAATTCTTACCAAGTGTTCAAGGCCATAGTCAGCCTGGGCAATTCTGGTGCTGCTAAAAGTATTCGTTTCGATAATATCTGCTCCAGCCATCAAGTACTCCTGCAAAAAAGAAATGATAACATGTCAATGTTAACAAGTATTTATCAACCTATCTCTAACCAACTATTAAGCAACTGCTGTGTACAAGGACCCTGTGCCAGGAGACACTGGGAATACAAAGCAGCACTGACATAGCCCCTTCCCTCAAGAAGCTCATTACCCAACTGGTGAGACAAGAAACACAGAAGTAGAGCACCTCAAGTACAATAAAAAAGTGCTGTTACAAGATGTAATGGTGCCTCTGGATTAGAAACACAGTAACACAGACACTAAAAGAGGCTGGAGAAGTGAGGCCAATCAGAGAAGGTGTCCCCCAAAAAATGTCTGAACTATTATGAATCTGGGTATAGTTGCATTTGGGCCCGGATCTTTTCACAGATCTGCCACAAAAAACATGGAGAAGAAACCCTGTCTACCCTTGAGCTATTACTTAGCCAAATACCACTGGAGAACGTAAACTAAGAGAAGGGACATCCAAATGACACAGAAGGTGCTGTGGTCTGGAAATCACCATCATTCCACTGCCACTGCTAATCAGCCATCTGGACCCTGCTAGTATACACGCTGGCCAGCCAGTCTTGTAATTCAGAAAAGGTAACAGTGACACTTCTGTCCACCAGGGGTTTTATTTAAAGCATTCCCACAAAGTCATCAATGTCTCATCATCATCATCCCAATAATAATAATAATAATAATAATAATAATAATAATAACAACAACTATGTAGTGCTTTAAGGTTTGCAAAGTCCTTTACAACAGTATTTCATTTGATCCTCACAACAACCCTGTGAGGTAACACTATTATCATCATCCCTATTTTACAGATGAGGAAACTGACTTTCTTAAAGTGACTTAAACTTAAGTGACTTGCTCAGGGACACAAAGGCAATATTAGTTAGAGGTGATACTTGAACTCAGGTCTTTGTGACTCCAAACACATTACGCCATGCTGCCTCTGCCCTTTATGGTTTCTATCTAAAATGCCTCATGGTTTACAAAGCACTTTCCTCACATTAACCCAATCCAAGGATAGTGGCCTTTATTTACCTGCCTCTAAGATGGCCTACCTGCCCAGCTTGCTGCCCCATCAACTCCTGAAGAGCATTGAGCACAAAGTGAAGGAGGGTGAGATTTCACTTACTGATCACTACACACACACACACACACACACACACACACACACACACACACACACACTGCAATAGCCCACTTAGAGCATTAAATGTGAAAACTAGGGGACAAAAAAAACAAGTTGTTTTTTTTTTAATAGAAGGGAAAACTGAGGCTCTGAACAGTTAAGTGATGGCTCCTCAGTGACAGAGCTCATGGGCTTAAGAGTTAGGAGGAGAACTCTCAGGTCTCTTGACTCCAAGTCGCACACAGCTTGTCCTCTGCTAAGCTGCCTGTTTCTCTATGTTGAACAATACAACTTTCTTTACAACCAGTTATAATCCCCATCATCCTTGTTCTGAAATCTTGGGAAACGCCCTGTTCGTCTTTATGGTATTCTGTAGACTGGTCAAGACTGAGTCAGTCAAGCTTGTCAGTCATTCAAAAGCAACATTACAAGGGAATAAAGCTCACTGTTTATTTTACTTTATTTGCTCTTTAGGTCAGGGTATCGCTGAGAGAGTTCCCAGGAGCCACCAGTGTCTCATTTCTAGGCGAGTACCTTCTACAATTGGCTAATCCCATTCATTAATCTTCTTAGCTGCCATTTCAAAGGTTGACTTGTTCTGACAGTCTCAAATTCTGGAGCTGAACCCTCAATGTTCCCAGTACCCTACGTAACGACTATATCTAAATCAGTCAAATTCATCAAAAAACATTTATTAAGCATTTACTATGTGCTAGACACTATGCTAAATGCTGGGGTGGGGGATAAAAGGGAAGGTAAAAGAGCTCCCACTCTAATAAATGAGAGAATATGTCAATAACTAGGTATAGACAAATCAAGGGGAAATTTCAAATAGGAAAGTACTGACACTTAAGAGGACTAGGGAAAGCCTCTGCAGAAGGTGGGATTTGAGCCTAGTGTGAAGTGAGCCAAGGAACCTAACAGGCAGACGTGGGGAGGAGGGAAGAGCATTCCAGGGATGGGGGCACGGCCATTGCAAATGCAGAGAGATGAAATGTTATGTGTAAGGAATAGCAAGTAAGCCAGCGTAGCCAGAGCCTGGAGTGCATGGATGGGGAGTACAATGAAAGAAGACCAGAAAGGTAGGAAGGGGCCCAGGTCATCACAAAAAGCTTGAAATGCCAGATTTTATATCTGATCCTAGAGATAACAGCAGCCCTGGGGCTTACTGAATTGGGAAGGGAAGAGGGGGAGTTACAGGAACAGACCTACAATGTATATAATAAAGTACTTTTAAAAGCACTATAGATTTTTCTTTCATTTTTCATTCTGTGCTGTCCCAGGTAGGGGGGGGAAAATAATCTGGAAATTAAGGTGATAAAAAATTTTAAACTAAGATTTCAAGTGTTATTTTTAAAAAGCAGAATGCTACTCTTCTGGGGATGACAAAATTACTGATCTCCTTAAATTCTGTTCAATGGAGGAAGGTTCTTTCAACTTCTATAGACCTCGGGCCTTGCTGTTCATGCCCATTAGACCACAAAAGCCAAAGGGAAAAAAAGCCACGGGCACTGACTGAAGCTGACAGCTGCCTGCAAATGCCTAGGGCTTTTTGCTTTCTAAGCGCGCAAAGGACAAGCTCAGCATATGACACGATAAGATATGTCACTGGGGTCCCTGAGGCTCAGAGCTTCACGGAAGTTGGCTCTTGTCCTAAACCCCCAAGCAGCTGTCTCACCACTGTGGGCCACTGGTCAGACTGGTCAAGAGATTCTGGGTACATACCCAGAACGTATCGATCCCATCATCATTTCTAAGGGGCAGGGAAAAAAACCAAACCAACCAACCTCAAATTCAAGTCAATAGCCATTAAGGACCTATCAAATGCAAGTCCCTATACTAGGTGCTGGGGATACTGTGCCAGGCACAGTGTCTTACCAATGCTGAGTCCCCCCATGTATGCATTTCAGAATATATTTTAATCCTTCCTGAAGGATTAACCTTAATAGATCAACAATCCACACCCACCACATACTAAATAACTGAATGTTTAGGCAGCTAGATGGCATGGTAGATAGAATATTAGACTTGGAGTCTTCTTCTGTTGTGGAGATATTGGGGGTAGGGTGGAATTATACTGGTCATTTCCAGGGTTCAAATCCTGCCTCAGCCAATTACTAGCTGTATGATCTTGGGCAAGTCACTTAACTTTTCAACTTCAGTTTTCTCATCTAGAAAATTGGAATAATTTTAGTACCTACCTCACAGAGTTGCTGCAAAGATTAAATGTAACATATGTAAAGCACTTAGAAACCCACATAAATGGTAGTTATTATGTTAACAACAGGCTCTAGTCCATCCCCTAACTTCCAAACCACATTTTTGGAGAAGGTATTAGTTATTGTCCTCATTTGCTGTTTTTTAACTCATTCTCCCCTCTTCACATACTGTACCTTGGGAGCACACACACCTCTTCCCATGAAAACATAAGCCTGATTTTTCTGATGAGGAAATAGCTAAAACTTCAAATTTAAAGAAAATAACTACCCAGGAATCCAAATCAGACAATCTTTTTTAAAAAATTGCTTACTACTGAATCTGGCTCACAGTCACTACTAGAAGATATAACCTAAAGAAACTTTGTCCATGAAACATTATTTTAGTCCAACACATGGCTGCCTTCATGTGAATCTCCCCTACAATCTTGCTTGTGCGTTTATTTAGCATGAAAAAACACAACTGAAGATCATGTCACTAACCACAAAACAAGTCCATATCTGAGCCTTCTTTCAAGGGATAAGGAAAACTGGAGGTTTTAACCTAATGTATAGACTTTGCTACCCCACATAACTGGAATGCCCTCCTTCCTCCTCCCCTCCACCATTTTCACGAAGCCTTTCCTGATCTCCCCATCTGCTGGTGCCCTTCCTTATAGCACATAATCCCCTTCCTTTATTTAACTACTTTGGACATATTTGTATTGATTCACTATATTTACACTGCATGTATTTTTATATGTGCTTGTTTTATCTCCCACTAGAATGTAAGCTCCTTGAGAACAGACATTATTCAATTCTCAGTACATGTATCTCCAGTGTTGAGCACACTGAGAGTCCTAGTAGGGACTTAACAAATATTTGTTGATTGATTATAGACTGGAGGGCCTCCAAATCAGTGGTGTCAAACTCAAAAGGGGGGCCACTGATCCATATATAAGGATCCTTGCAGGTCACCCAGTGACTTAGTTTTCAAATGTAATGTCATCTATATTGTATTACATTTTTATTTCTTTTGTTAACTATTTCCCAATTACATTTTAATCTGATTTGGGAGTGTGGGCCATGGGTTGCATGTTTGACACCTCAGCTCTCAATGTTAAAAATTATTTATTTCTAAGAGGTAGTAAATAAGGTTAATGTTCACATTTCATTGACATTAGTTACCTACTACGTGCATAATAACAGGCAGGATAGCACAATAGATATAGAACATAACTAGGAATCAGGAAAACTGGAATTCAAGCTCTGCCCCTAACAAATACTAGTTGTGTGACCATGGGCAAGTCACATAATCTTTCAGTGCTACCAGGCAACCCTCTAAGACTATTACAATTTGCAGAGCAAGTACATATCTGTACTGGTAAAAGAATAAGCATTTAAGTGAAATAAACTTTTGTTAAACACCTACTATGTGCTAGGTACTGTGCTAAGTGCTTTACAAATATTTTCTCATCTGAACCTCACAAGAGCCCCGCAAGGTAGGTAATATTAGTATCTTCATTTTGCAGCTGGGGAAACTGATGCAGGCAGGTTGAGCAGCTTGCCCAGGGTTACACAGCTAGTCTTTGAAAGGAAATTTCCTCATTGGGATCTTTCTATATGTACTCCTAATATCACTGGTGCAGGAAAAAAATAATATGCATATTATTACAGACTGTCATTTCTTCGTCTGATAACACAATACTGTTTCTACAGCATAAAGATGGAACATTTTATTTACTTCTGAAATAAAACATTTTTTAGATATGCTTAAATTCACCATACTTACTTTTCCCTAGTACAGTTTAGGAAAGCAGCATAGCATATAAGGGAAGGTAGGAGAGGAACCACTAGTAAAGTGCCTTTTCCCCTTGCCTTCCCCAGCCCCTCAGACACCAGCCGAGCCCACAGCACAGAAGAGATAAAGGACTACCAGGCCTTAGGATCTGCTCTGCTCCTACATCCTGAGGTCCTCTGGGCCTTACCATCTGCCCTGGCAATGCAAGTCTCTAAGGACCCCTGAGCCTTGCCATCACCCCACTACTATAAGCCAAAGACTTTCATCAGCCCTACATAACACATACACAGACACAGATACAGATAAACTCCAGTGGCTTCCTAGTACCCTCAGGATCAAATACGAAATCCTCTGTTCAGCACTCAGAGCCCTTCATAACCTTGTCTTCCTGGCCTCCCAATCCTACCTTTCCAGCTTTTTTTACACCTTAACTCTCTAATGATCCAGTGCACTAACCTCCTGGCTGTTCCATAAACAAGACACTCCATCTCTAAGCTCTGGGAGACATTCTCTCTGGATACCTGAAATGCTCTCCCTCCTCCACTCAAACTACTGACCTTCCTGGTTTCCTTTAAGTCTCACTTAAAATCCCAGCTTCTCAGGAAGCCTTCCCCAAATCTTCTCAAATTCCAGTGCCTTCTCGCTATTAATGATTTCCTATTTAACCTGTGCAGTTTGCTTTGTATACATTTGTTTTCATGTTATCTCCTCCATTATATTACAAGCTCCTTGAGGGCAGGGGCTGTCTTTTGCCTCTTTTTGTATCCCCAGCCCTTAGCACAGTGCCTGGCACATAGTAGGTGCTGAATGAATACCAACTGACTGAAAAACAGATGTACACACATGTGTGTATACATAATCCCTGTGTGTCTATGTGTCTAAAGTGCATTACAAACCTTAAAGTACTATATAAATAGTATTGTTATTGTTGTTGTTAAGTGCTTACTGTCTAGGATCCTATGATATACCAGGCATTACTCCAGATAAGTAAGAACACAAATACAAATGTGAGACAGTCTTTGTCTACAAAAAAGCTTACATTCTTATATTCACCTATCCACAAATCCATGATATCCTCATGTGTTTTCATTCATTAATTTATAACAAGGTTTTATTGAATATTCTAAAATTTCAGAGAAAGAACTAATTATTTAGCCTCTGCTTTTCCTGAGAAGGAAAAGGCTTTTTCAAGGGACCATGTACGAGGAGGCATTTAAAAAGTATTTGCTGAATTCCACTGGAGTCTATGTTCCCATTCTAAATGAGGACTAATGAAGAGAAATGTGTTCCTACTTTCTTGCTCTTCCTACACCTAAAGGCCCTTTTACATTCTACGAGTACAAAGCCACCCCTACAACCTATCCCCTTAGTCCCTGCAGATATCACCCCATTGCTGAATTATCTTCATGAAGACAAAGGCTAAGAATTATTCTGTGTCCAAGGGACCTTTCTCCTTAGCTGAGCAATAACATAGCTCTTCTCTAAAAGAAAAACTGTCTCACTCTGAGAATAAATATTGTTTCCACTCTACCAGTCCCTCTGAATTATGGCCAAAGGTACAAGGATACAGTTAATGACCGAAGAGTCCCTTCTAGTCCTCTGAGTCAACAAAATGTCTTATACAACCTCCAAATCATACCGTTTTTAAAAATAATAATGAAATAAAAAATATAAAATGCCTAGAACCAACCTGTTGAGACAAATTTTATATGATTTCTAGGAACTGGCTTTTATTCTCCAGGGGTTCCATGTAGGCAAGGATCCTACCTTCTTATATGCCTTCATGGTTTAGGATATATGACTCCGAGTAATACAGATACTCAATAACAGAATGAACACAAAGTACCTTGCAGCTACAGTGACCATAACCCATCAATTCCATCGCTACAAAATCTATCAAATCCATCCCCTTGATTCTCTTTCCATGACAACCATCTGAGGGTAGGCCTTTATTTATTGCTTCATGATAGTTTTTTTCCCCACTCCCACCCTCTATCCTTCATGCTACTACCAGGATAATCTTCCTTGTGCACAGACCTGATCAGTCAGTCAGCTAGCCCTCTGCTCAAAAACTTTTAATGGCTCCCTATTGCTTCCCAAGTAAAGTTCAAATTCATCTACTAGGGACTACAGAGCTTCCAAGACCTGGGGTCACCCCCACCTTAGGCAACTTGATTTGTTATCACTCTCCTCCATCTACTCTACACTCCAGCCAATTTGGACTATTCTCTGCCCCTCTGAATGCACAATGCATACACAAAGACCTCCATGTCTTTGTTCAGATTATTCCCTCTGCTTGGAATGCCTCTCCTTTTTCTCTGTGGATTTCGAAATATCCTTATAAGCCCAATTTAAATGACTCCTCCTACAGAAAGTCACCCCTGATCCTCTAGTTAGTAATAAACTTCATATATAACTTTGATAATTCCCTAATACACATGTATAATATTGTACAGATTGGCTATCCATGAAATATTCTTAATGACCTACTAGACCATAAGTTCCCAAAAGGCAGGGACCATATCTTATTTCCATTTTTTCCCCCAGCGCCTATTACAATACTCTGAAGAGAATGAGACTATTTAAAAAATATCGGATGCTAAACTGTATTGTACAATACCTTATGGATCTTGCAAATGATATCAGGTCGAGTTATACTTAAGAGGTCGTTGTTGCCTTTCAAAGGCTTGGCATGGTTTTTCAGGTCTTGTCCTTTGAAGTCCTCTTCACTCAGAGTATACCGTTGGATCATGGTCCCCATACCGCCATCCAATACCATGATCTTCTCCTGCAAAATGGCTTCAATATCATTCTTTGGGATTTTTTTTCCTGCTTAAAAAAAAAAAGATAATTAAAATCAAACAATTCGTTTTCAAAAATAAAGGTATGCTCTCTCCAAAAAGTTGGGGAGGTTAGCTTATAGTAGAAAACCATCAAAGAATTAAGTTCACAGATGCTATAAGCCATAGCTATACTGCATCAAAAAAGATGAACAATGATATGCTTTATAAAAATGCTTAGTAAAATTATAACAATGTCTAACCACAATAAACATTTTGAATGGTACAATAATCACTAGCTAGGCTCTTACATAATGCTCCTAGAAGCTATTTTTGTCCCCATGTCAGAGCAAAGTCAAATGGGCAGAGTTTTCAAGGCAAAATAGCAAGTAAGAAGCTTCACGGTCACGTCAGTTTCCTAGAATATTACTGACGGACATTAGTTCCTATGTAGTTCCCCTACATTAGGCTTAGAAGTACCCTCTGCTCCCCACTTCTATTGTACAATTAAAAATCCCAAATAAAATAGAAGGCAGGATTAGCAAAAGTATCTATAATACACCATTAATGCAAAGCAATTGTTTCATTAATAGTAATAATGATAAATTGCATCCTAATACATTTTTAGCTAAAAAAGTTGTTTTATCTACCTGTTCAACAGATCACAAAGCACTGAAAGAGCCAGCCAGTAAGGCTGTCTATGCAAAGGAATGACAAAAAAGGCAAGCAGGAGGTTCTATACTCCCAAGCCTTTGTACTGTCAGTCCCCAAATACTCAGGATTTAGCCATCAATACAAATTAATACCCCTTGACTAGACAGTTTCACTGTCCAAGAAATAGAGTACACACAGACAGCATGAACAACAGCAATAAACAACTACCCAATGAATCTTGTTCCCAGCACTTCATCCATGACACTCCCATTAACTGTGAACATCCCTCAGGGCTCCCTCCTGGGCCCCTTTCACTTTTATCTCCATTTTCTCTCAGTTGGTGACCTTCATTAGCTCCCATGAATTCAATCATTGCTTCTATACAGACCGATTCCCTTCTCTGAGTGCCATGCTGGCTGCTAGCTTTTGTTCTCTATCTCTTCTCCCTTTCCTGACTCAACTCCTTGAGAAGCAGCCTGCAATCACTGCCTTCTCCTCACTCTCTTCTTAACTCTGCTGTCTCACTTCTAATCTCTTCAATCAACTGAAACTTCGGTCCAAAGTTACCAATGCTCTTAAAATTGCCAAATCTAATGGATTTTTCTCAATCCTAATCATCCCTGACCTCTCTGCAGCCTTTCACACTGCTGAGTACTCTTTTCTCCTTGGTTCTCTCTTCTCTATATATCATGACATTGTGCTCTCCTGGTTTTCCTCCTACCTTTCAGGCTGCCCTTTCTCAGTCTCCTTTATTGGATCTTAATGCAGGTCTGCTCACTACCAGTGGGTGTTCCCCAAGACTCTGTCATGAGCCCCTTTCCCTTCTATAGTGTTTTGCTTGGTGATCTCATCAGCTCCCGTGGATTCAGTTATGTTTTCTACGTAGATGATTCTCAGATCTATTTGTTCAACCCTAACCTTTCTCTTGACCTCCAGTTTCACATTTCCATACTACCCATTCACACTATCAGTCTCAAACCAAATGTCCCATGAAAATCTTAAACTCAACAGATCTAAAACTGAACTCATTATCTTTTCCCCTCAAGCCTTCCCCTCTTTCTAACTTCCTTATTACTGTCAAAAGTACCACCATACCCTCAGTTATCCAAGTTCAAAACCCTGGTGTCATCCTTGACTCCTCATTCTTTTTTAACTCTCCATATCCCATCTGTCATGAAGCCCTGGCATTTTTATCTCCCTAACATATCTCACATATGCCTCCTTCTCTCTACTGATACTGCTACCACCTGGGTTCATACCCTCACCTCTGGTCTATTTCAATAGTCTACTGGTTGGTCTACCTACCTCCACACTGCAGACCACCCTCTACTCAGCTGTCAAATTGATCTCGCTGAGCTCAGGTTAACGATGTAATACCACCTCAGCCTCCCCATTATATCACCATCCTCACAGTCACCCAGGCAGGAAACTTAAATGTTGGTCTCAAGTTCTCCCTCACTTTTACTTCCCCATATCCAATTAGATATCAATTTCTATCAATTTTACCTTCCCCAGCTTCTCTCATATACACACCTCCTTCTCCTCTGACACTGCTGCCACCACCATGGTACATGCCCTCATCACCTAATACCTGGACTACTGCAACAGCCTGGAAGGCTTATATGAAGAGAACAATTTACACAACACTGTAAAGGAAAACAACTGAGAAAGTATTAAGAACTCAGATCAATGTAAAAACTAACAAAGGACCAATGATGAAGCAGGCAGCCTAAATACTGACAAAAAGGAGACCAACACACGGTACTGATGACACATAGGTTTGGATACAGACAACCGTGGCATTTGTTTTGTTTGATTATGCATATCTGTTGGAAGCATTTGTTTCTTTTTCTCTAATAGAGCAGTGATTAAAAATGTTTGTTAAGTAAAAAATAAAAATATATAAAAACAGACAACCTATTTAAAAGCTCAAATCATACAACCTTCTACGTGAACCATTTTTAATCCCCATAGTTTTGAGCTCTCTGTTTCCTGGAGTTATTTTGTGTTTAATGACCATTATATGGGGCAGCACAGGGAATGGTTAGAGGACTGGGCTTTGTGTCAGGAAGACTTGAGTTCAAATATGGCCTCAGACACTATTGTGTGAACCTGAGCAAGTCACTTAATCCTGTTTGCCTCAGTTTCTTCATCTGTAAAGTAAGCTGGAAAAGGAAACCACTCCAATATCTTTGTCAAGCAAACCCCAAATGGGGTCACGTAGAGTTGGACAGGACTGAAACAACTCTATAAGAGCACTGTGTATTTTATATCCTTCCCAACAGAATAAGCTCTTTGAGGGCAGAGACTGTTTTTCATTTTTCTTCTTTGTTTACACAGAACATTGTCTTACTCATAGTAAGAGCTTAATATGTTTGTTGAAATGTGAATTTTATTTATTTGCATAATTATTCCTCCAGAACTATTTTAGAATATGTTTAATTAACTACTAGAGTTAGAAAACAAAGAACTTAAGATAAGGATGTAAAAAATAACAAATTAGACTCCAGAAAACTTGTAACAAAGCATAATTTCCTCCCTTAGGCAGACAGCTGAGAAACTAGAGGTACAGAATAGTCATATACTTACTTGCATACGTGGCCAATGTATAGATTTGTTTTCACTGACTATACACAATGGGAGGGAGAACTAGGCTAACAATCCAATCCATTTTTTTCCACATAGGGAAACTGAGAGTGGCGGTGACTTCTCCAAAGTCACCAGGGAAATGTAAAGAGCAGAACCCAAATCTGAACACAGGTCCTCCAAATCCAAATCCAGGTCTCTTTCCACTTCATTACAGTATCAGCTCCACACTATCTTGCCCATGAGTTTATATTCAAATGGATAATTACAATTCCCTCACAAGACACTACTGCAGTTTTCCCCATTTGCTATGCATTTTAATACCCAAAAAAGTTTACTGCTATCTTAAAAGTTGGGGAGATCTCCTTAGATAGTCACTCTTTCATACTGCTTATTCGAAAAAAATTTTTTTTTAGAAAGGCAGTTAACAAAGCTCATCCCTGCCCCACTCCCCATGGGGCTTCACCGGTTACATTTCCCATAAGGGGATACACCTGCTTATCTCCATCTTTTATTGTCTGTCTCTAAGCCAAAACATTCTGCCCCAGCAATCAAAATCAAATTGGTTATTTGTTTAATTGATTCGCCCCACATGTGGAAATGTCAAAAACTCTAAAATCAAAACTATTTACACCTATGGGTTCCCGATTAACATTAATTGTACTCTTAAAGAGTTCTAATAGACAATCTGTTAATAAATTTATTAAGCACCTACTAAGTACCAGGATACAAAGAAAGGCAAGACAGTCCCTGCTCTTAAGGAGCTCATAATCCAATGAGGGAGGCATGTAAAAATAATGTACAAACAAGATATAAATTGGAAATAATCAAAAGAGGGAAAGCACTAGAATTAAGAGAGATCCAAAAGGGCTTCCTGTAGAAGGCAGGATTTTAAAAAGCCATAGAAACCAGAAGGTGGAGATGAGAGAAAGCATCCCAGGCAGGAGGGTATAAAGGGAGAGTAAAAATATCTTGTTCTAGAACACCAAAGAGGCCAGTGTCACTATCACACAATACGTGGAGGGGCATAAGAAGAACGGAAAGATGGGGGGGAAGAGGTTATGAAAGGCTTAAATGCTGATGAGAAGATATTACATGTGATCCTGGAGGTAACAGGAAGCCAATGGAGATTATTAAGAGGATTACATGGCCAGGTCTGAACTTTAGGAAGATCACTTTGACAGCTGAGTGGAGGACAATGGACTTGAGTGGGGGAAGATGTGGGGGTCAACTAGAAGGCTCTTTTAATAGTCCAGGCATGAGATGATGAGGGCCTGCACCATCATCTTATATAATAACAGATTAATTAGCAATGATTTCCTTTTGTAGAAACTAGATGGCCTTTGTTTTAACAGGTTATATTGATATCACAGAATTCCACCTATTTCCCTGTATTCACTTTAATAAAAAACATTTAAGAATCACTTAAGGGTTAAGAACAGTGCCAGGTGCACAGGATGACACAAAGGTAAAGAGGATAGCAGTACAGTTCTCATTTTGACCATAATGCAAAAAATTAAAATAGAGGGATATTAAATGATATGGCCGGGCACAAGATGAACAGTGGTGGACTTGAGAGTGAGCAAAACAGGTTCAAATCCCACCTCTGACATTTATTAGCTGTGTCATAAGCAAGTCACTTAACCACTCTGGGCCTCACTTTTCTCATCTGTGGAATGGGGATAAGAATACCTGTAGTACTTTTTTCTCAGGGTTTAAGGCCCAAAAGAGACAATAAGGAAAGCATTTAGCAACCTTAAAGCACAGTATAAATGTCGATTATTATTATTGTCCCTAGTTCTTATGGAA